CCCCCTCCCCCCCACTCCTCTCCCCCTCCCTCTCCAGTCTGAGGGGCAGTCAGGGTTCCCTGCCCTGTGGAAAGTCCAAAGTCCTCCCCGCTCCATCTTTGACCAAACTTTTTTTCCTCAAGAAAAGTGATAGACCAAATGAATCTTAATCTTTGTTTAGAAATGAAGTAGATTTTTCTGTAACTTATGCCTTAGAGAAAGTGATGCATTTCTATTAAACTTACCACTTTTATTTTAGGTGATGCAAGGACTTTCTGGCTGGAGCTACAAGATGATGGTAAAGTGGACTTTATGTTTGAAAAAACACAAGATGTGCTACTGTCTCTGAAAAAGAAGATAAAAGATGGGTCTGCCACAAATAAAGGTATGAAAAGTGAAACCTTCTGACACTTCCTACTAGTGTTATATACTCATAAAGTATAACTCTACTTATCTAAAGCCCTAATTTGAGTTTTACCTACTTTGTATATGCTTTCCTTCTACAGACTTGCTTTTCACATACATCCCGTAAAAGTGGGTAAACTTGATTTTTGTAGATGATAGCTATTGAACACACACACACACACACACACACACACACACACGTGGGGGGGGGCAGAACTCCTCTTAAGCACTTCCCCCCCTTTAACCTCTTCCCTAGTAGCTGAAATCAGGCCACATTTTTCTCCTTTATTTATACTTCGTATCTTTGAAGTGGAGGGGAAGGATGTTACATAGATAATACCTGCTTCTTGTATAAGTTTAGCATAAATAGGACAATCCAACAAAAATAGTCTTCCATCATTTAGACAGCTGGTCCATGTGGTCTATTCATGGTAGAAGGCGTGGTCAACATGTGTAAGGCCCTAGGTCCTATGCCAGCATACAACAGCATAGATATTGCCTGTTCCAAACAGAACTTTCTGGACTAGTTTTATGAAAACAAACTTTTAGTTCTTGATTTTCCTATGTGTTTTCAACTCTAGTTGGTTGCAGAACATTAGGCTCTAAACGTAAGCTCCTCCTCTAGCTCATGAGGATATAGTTGTAAAGCAAAGATGTCCCCAGCTGTTGATACTCTCACCAGCTGTAGCCCTTGATCTTAAAGAAAATCAGAAGATGGACTGGTAATGGGAGGATTTTTTCTTTTTTACAGTTTTGTTTATAAGTGGTAAGAGAAGAACTCATGTTTCTCTACCTATCCTGGAACAGTATTAAATTGTATGTGAAAAATGAAGTGCAACCAGCATATAAAACATGTAGATTTAGCAGAGATACAGGTTAAAAGTTTCTTTGGGAAGGAGCAGGTAAGGTGTCTCTTGTCACTGCCAGAAGCCTTTTCTCTCAGCATGGGGTCTCTGCTGTACTATGCTAATGGTGTTCCAGACTATGACAGTTCCACTGTTTGTTCGTTTTCTTGTTTTGTTTTTTTATAAAAGAAACTTTCAATCCTTCATGGGTCAGATATATGTAAGTTTGAAACAGTTCTATCACTTTTACTTTATTCACCTAAATAGCTAACCTCCTAGCCTCATTTTTTTTTAAATACAGATAATCATAAGGGTCTCTCGGGGGAGCTGTAAAGATTAAATGTAAATTGTTTAGTATTATAGCTGGTAACTGAATAGAGGTGATGGTGATGGTGCTTATTCCTTTCTTTTTTATTTTAACAGACTATGTCCAAGCAATGATTCTGGTAAATGAAGCAACTATAAGGAACAGTACAGCAAAGGGTATGTTCATTGCTTACTCCAATCCTAATATCTCTGTTTTTTCCTTGCCAATCTTTTTTTTTTTTAAAGATTTATTTATTATGTATACAACTTTCTGCCTCCATTTATACCCACACACCAGAGGAGGGCGCCAGATCTCTTTACAGATGGTTTGGAGCCACCATGTGGTTGCTGGGAATTGAACTCAGAACCTCTGGAAGAGCAGACCGTGCTCTTAACCACTGAGCCATCTCTCCAGCCCTTCCTTGCCAATCTTAATCTGTCAAGTTAATTAAAGGTAACTTGAATTAACATATAAGATTTGCATTGCTAAGTTTTATGAACCACAGTTTTCCTTTATGAAAAATCCTACCCCTCCAGAGATAGGGAACACAGTCATGCCAAGGGCCCAAGGAAAATAGAACTTTATTTCTTTTCTTCCTAAATGCCATGTAAAGAGGGCAGACAGATTTTTATAAATAGCACTGTTAGGAAGGTACATCCCATTATAGGTAAGTTGATGGCTAATTTTTTATTCATCTTGGTTTCAAACTACCAGTCTTTGAAGAGCCAAGCATGTTTGGTTTTAAAAGATCAAAGATAACAAATGAAAACTATTCATAAGACTTCTGCCATCAGATGTATGCATTTTCTGCAGCAAGCAAGTTTCCAGTTTTATGTCGCTGCCTGTGAGATGTGAGATGTCACACGTTGTCAATACCCCACATGTTGTCAATGCCCCAAGTTTTATGTAGCTGCCTGTGAGATATCACAAGTTGTCAATACCCCAAGTTTTATGTAGCTACCTGTGAGATGTCACATGTTAAGTTGTCAATACCCCAAGTTTTATGTTGCTACCTGTGAGATGTCACATGTTAAGCAGTCAGTACCCCAAAACTGGCCCTTGAAATGTCAATCACATGCCCTAGGCCTTTGTTATTTCTGACTTGCCTGAAGATTGTTGTGGGGAAGGCTCCCCATAATACCCACCATAGGTTTAATAATTTGCTGGAGAGGTGGTTTAGTTGTTAAGAGTGCTTTCTGCTTTTTCAGAGGACCTAAATTCAGTTTCCAACACGCACACTGGACCTGTAATTCCACCTCACATGCAGCTGTAACTCCAGCTCCTGGGGCTCTGAGAACTCTACTCTGGCCTCTGTACATGTCCTCCTCCACACGTCCACACACAGACAGACATGCATGCACATCATATGAAAATAAATACAAATCTCTTGAAATTTTTGCTGTAATTGCTTAAAAAAAAACCTCAAGTAAATGCATTCTGTCCTCTTAACAGTTTATTATGAAAGTGTTACAAAGATTAACAGCCAGATGAGGAATGTGGGAGACATCTGGCAGAGCCTGAATGCAGGCTCCACCCTCAAGTTTTGGGAGTATCCCACCATGTTAGTATATGAATGCTTTCACCAACCTAAAAGCCTCTGACCCACATTATTAAGAGCATTTGTGGAGATCTCATTACATAGGCATGAATGCGTGAATCACTGGCCATTCGTGATTGACTCTGTCTCCTGCCTTTCTTACTTCCTGCACTTGGTTCAGTCTGAAAATTACAACCCTGTAATTGTGCTTTTTTTCTGTCTTTCTAATGGAACAGCCACCATCTGAAGCTCTCCAGAGATTCTAGGTAGCAGTCACTTCACTAGCAAACTAGACAAACATCACCCTGGAGGGCCAAAGCCTTTGGCAGTGTTTGGAAGTATGTGAAGTTGTAATAGAAGATGCTGCTCTCACTGCCACGGGGGAAATCACAAGGACTGCAGTAATTCTATCAGGAACTAGGACAGACAAGATATATAATTCTTATTATGCCACATATATCAAGAGTAGAAAGCACAGTTTGAAGTTATTTTATCAGCTATCACCATTCCAAAATTTTAATCTATCATAACTTTGCTGTAAGTGTTGAAAGAGCACTTACCAAATCTTCATTTATACTGTTAAGTATTCTTAGCAGATTTTGCTGGGCTTTATTTTCCTATCAAAATTTGGAGCCTTAAAGTTTTTAACTATGAAAAAGTTGTCTAGCATGATGCAGGTGTATTTTGGGATTTTTTTTTCCCCTCAGTATTCTCCATTCAGTGCTAATGTGTATTTTTAGAATAGGTTCTTTTAGAAATTCTTTCTTTTCAGTATTCTTCAGTAGCATTTGGAGTTATAGGGGAAGAGTGTGCTTGCGTGTGTGCGTGTGTATGTGTATTGGAGCCTGTAAATTAAACTTGTAAAAGAATGTTTGCAGTCTAAAAGGTATGCAGATGTATTAATTCATTGTACATAGTAGTGGGTACTCAATGTAGCTGCAAGCTTTGAAAGCTGGGTCATGTTAGTAGGGAAGGTGGACAGAAGGGCACTCTAGGGCAGGTGACTTCTTAGAAGAGGGTGGAGAACAGCGAAGAAGGTGTGACTTGAAAGGTGAATGAGCACTGAGGAAAATAGATGGGAAGTGCTGTAGACTGTGATAGGGTCTGCATGGTTGTGGTGTGAGCGTCCTGTGTTTTCATGTGATAGTCTTCTGGTTGGATCTTCGGGAAGAGGAGGTTTATAGCTTTCCTTCTTTTCCTTTGAGGATCCCTATTTTAGAATATTAAGGGGAGAGAAAACCTTTTCCTGCATGTGTTGATTCTCAGATATTTCAGCTCAGAGCAGTCCTTTTGTTACTTCCTGGAGCACCTCTGTGCCTTTCATAATGAACACACCCGTAAGGGACTGCAGTAGTTTTACAGGAGAGGAAATGGCGACAAGGAATTAATCCTAAGAGATATTTGTTTTCCTCTCTAAAGCATTTTATTTTCAACTCAGTTTGGAGTCATTGTCAATAGAAATACTATATCATGATTCTAGGTTTTATATAGTCTGTTCACCTGAATTGGAACAGTTTTATCAGAACAAAAATATATCTATTTGCCAGTATAGAAAAACAAAAGAGGTCAAAACAAGCCCTTAGAGATCTAGTCTGTACTCCCTAGATACTGATTAAGCCACTAGTTGCCCTTTCTTCCCTTGCTTAGTTACAACTTTAATCACTTGTTTCCCGGTTTAAAAAAAAAAAAAAAAGAACAAGCAAAAAATACTTGGGTTAAAAAAAAATAAGAAATTACAAATAGATCAAAAGAGTTAGTCACGTGCATTTAGAAAAGGAAACAAAAGTTACCCAAACTTAACGCTTTATGACCTATTTGTCTATAAAATGTAAGCAGAACTACCAGCACTTGATATTTGCCTGGAATAACTTTGATTAAGTTGATATCAAACTCATTCTCCAGAAGTACTTTCTTCAAAGGTTTTAAATTTATATTGAATTTATTTTATTGGTACTTTTGAAAATATCTACAATCTTATTGCCGAGTCTCAAAAATCTTAGTATCTTTGGAAATTTTAGTGTTCCGTATGATCATGATTTCTAATCAGTGAAGACACTGTTTGGCTGTTTTAGTGAATGATTTTTAACTCTGTGTTTGTTTTGCTCATTACTTTTTCCATGTAGATCATATACCTGTGACTCAGACTGAGCAGGAACACAGATCAAATGCATTTCCCTCCGCATCATGTGAGAACTTTCCTGAGGACTGTACCACTCTGTATGTATATTATCCGTGTTACTGCCCCCTTAGTATGCTATTTCCTAAATATCGCTAGGGAATGACCTCCTTCTCTAAAATTTAGCTTAAGATGTCTGTGTTTTGTGAATCTACCGAAATCTGCCAAATCACCTTTGAGAAAACCCTTACATTTGGAGTATTAAAACTGCTTCCAGTGTCAGCCCAGCGTTGACAGCGCCTGTAAGAGTGACAGGTGTGAGGGGAAACCTGGCTGCTTTACCATCTCTTCTACCCCTGAGTTCAGTGAGCGTTCCTTAGCTCTCAGGAGACTTAGGCAGAGCAGATCTAACACCTGACAGACTAGGTAAGGCCTGCAGCACAGCCTCCTGTCATTGTGGTGAAGCTCCTGGTGTGTTGCTCTGATCTGACCCTTTCAGCTATAGAGTTACGCTGGCCCTTGTAAATAATTCTCAAGAACTCCAGTCTGTGATGATTGTAGATAAACACTGTTACATGCGGTTTGTATAATTCTATGGACAGTAGAGCTGTCTTGGGGGTTTTGTTTTGTTTTTCCAGACAAGGTCTCACTAAGAGCTAAGACTGTCCTTGAATTGGGACCTTAACCTACCAGTTGAGAAGTCAGTGTAGTTTAAGTCTCAAAATAATTTAATATGCTCTTACAGAAATCTAAGTTCACACTTCTTGTAACTCCCCTCACTGACTTTTAGTAGCTCACAAAACTTATTATTATTAGAAGTGATAACCCAATATACAGCACAAAACCTTGTTAGTTTTTAAACACAGACCCAACCATTCTAATATAAGATTTCTTTTTTTCACAAAAATTTCTGCCCAACAGGCTGCCGTCCAGTTTCTATTAGGCAATAACATATTTTTAAGGATACATTTTGTTTTTTTAATTATGTTTATACATGTGTGGATATGTACACATGTGAGGGCAGGTATGTTCGGAACACCAGTCTTGTCAGAAATACCTCTTGCCAGGGTAGGAGGGTGGGGATCAGAAATAATAGTAAAGAGGAAGAAGACATGAATAAAACAATAAAACAGAAAGAAAGGATAGTATCTGGAGGGAGTTCCAGTGAATACTGTAATGTTTTTTAAATGCATTTTTATACCCCATTCCAAAAGGGGGAAGGCAACAAAAGACTTCTTTAACATGTTACAAAGGACAACTTGGACAATTAATTGCTTCAGTACTTTGAGACATTAAGTCATTAGCATTCTGTTTGGGTAGTGAAGCCACCCTAGACCAAATACCCTGAAGGCAGCCATTCTCTCCTACAAAAGAAGGAGCAGAAGTATGCTTGCTTATCCTGACCACCTGTCAGGATAGAGTGGATCTACCTGTATGCGCCATCTTAATGTCAAAAGAACCAAGTAACCACATCCTGGGTCAGGAGTGTACCCCTGGTCTTGCAAGCTATTAAAGCTAGTGAGGGAGTTATAAAAAGTGTGAAAACTGAGGCCTCAGAATTCTCACATAAGCCAGAAGAGGGGTAATTTTAGACTTGTTTGTAATGCTCTTTGTCTTTCTAACTTTTCTTGTATACTTTTTGAACCTTTTATTATGATCACTGAAAATATATTGAAGTGTGGCCAAAGCCAAAACCCTCTTGCTTACTTACTATATCAGAGACTCTTTTTTTTATCACTTTTCAGAAAGATCTGTTCAAACAACTTTAAATTTGCTTCACTCTGTTACTGTCTTACATACATGTCTCTTGCATGAGAAACTAAAGTTTACTGCTCTAGAATTCTGTAATAGCATCACACTCTCTTAAAACTTGCATACATACACACATAGAGTATTCTGATTGACCTAGAGTTTTCTGACTTAACTGTTGGTTGACAACAGCTAGTGTTGGCTTCTTTTTAAATTCTAAATACTTAGAAGTCATGTGCTTGGTGCCCTCTTCTAGCAAATCAGGGTAGCATTTTCTCTATTTTGTTCTTTAGTATTTGAAGTGCCCCCCTGCCCCTCCCCAAAAAACCTCTGGAGTTGAATATAGAGACCTTGATACTTGTAATACAGTCAAATTCTATTAATTCTTGTAATTGTTAGACCCTCAGTTCCTTTCCATTTGTGTCTGATCTTCATAACCTGAGAGCCATATTTAACAGGTGAAAATGGTAGCAACAAATGGATAGAGACTCTTCATTCTCTGTTATGTGCTATCTTTCTCCTAATATTAGTTTCTTATCCTAAGCCTAGGATTAATTTAAAAAATTTTTCATTTGCATTTTTGAAAGCCTCAATTATTATCAGACTTGGTCTTAATAGTACCTTCCTTATAGATTTAGACCAGCATTTTTGCTCATAACCGATCATCCTTCCTTTGTCATATTCTTTTAAAATTTCAGTGAGTCATAGAGTGCGTAACTGTAATCTGAGCATTGAGGAGGCAGAAGTAGGAGAATCACTGTGAGTTCCAGTCCAGTGAGGTCTCCACTGGGAGACCTTGTTGATTGATTGACTGATTGATAGGTAGGTAGATAGGTAACCTTCCCAGAGACATCCGATTAGGCATGCTCGTGATTTCACATTCAAAACTTCATTTCTGTACTTCTGAGAGCTCTCGAACTGGGCTGTCACTCAGAAATAAGACCTGAGTTCGCAATCTGGAGAGATTTTTCCAGATGAAAGTACATGTCTAATTAGACTCATAATTTTTTTCTTTGTGTTAAGAATTCCAAAGCTACAGCTCACTCTTGATTAGAATTCTGCTTGTTTCTTTCTTTTTTATTTTTTTCAAGACAGGCTTTCTCTGTGTAGCTTGACTGTTCTGGACCGTTCTGTGCTCTGTAGACCAAGTGACCTTGAACTCAGCAATCTGCCTGCCTCTGTCTCCTGAGTCCTGGAATTTTTAAAGGGATGTGCCATCACTCTAGAAACTAGAGTAATTTTAAAATAATTCCATTTGGATTTCCCCTGGAGGTTATGATGGTATTTTGTTATGGGGTGTGTATATATGTGTATTTTGTTTGGTTAGTGTGTTTTGTTTTTGTTTTTCTTTCAGTAGTTAAACTCCTTAATGGATAGTAATCACATAGGCAGACTAATAAGCTACATGGTTGATTCTCAGCCCCTGAATTGCTCAAAATAAACAATATGTCCATGTCATAGTGGCAAAATCAAGTATGAAAGTCTTAGGGGTAGGCAGTAGACTTTCAGCGTTTCGGTTTTGAGTTTAATCGGATTTCCATTCCATATAGGCGATATTTCAAATTGGCAAATGTAGTAAAACATTTAATTTTTTTTTAAAAAAAGGCTCTCTCCTTTTATGAAAACTAGCTAAATTTATTTTTCTTAGTCAAGTGCTTTGATTTATCAAGAGCATTTTGGTAGAATTTATTAAGTGCAGTTCTGGCCATCACGTAGTGACAGTGAACTTGCAGGTGCTAAAACACATGGGTATAAATATAAATCACTTGGTTTCTATTAGATGAGCACATGAATCTGGCAGATTAACTTTTATATATGTATATACACGTGCATACCTGTATACATTCACAAACGCCCAGAGTATGGCACAGCAAGCAGTGTAGGCACTAAATTGGAACCAGGAAATGGGTGTTGAAATGCTGCTTTCTTGTTCCAGGTTCTTGTTGCCACGGTATTTTACATAGCTGCCCAACTAAACTTTTACGAATTCCTAATTTCACGTGTTACTTCATGATGTATTTTTAATTTACATCTTGAGAGATTATTTTAGATATTTAATGATTGTATGTTCCTAGTGGTTGCTCAGCCTACTTTCTTATAGAACCCAGGGCTACCAGCCCAGAGGTGGCCCAACCCACAATGGGTTGGGCCCTTCCCCATCAATCACTAATTTAAAAAAGGCCTTACAGGCTCGAGTGCAGCCCAATCTTATGAAGGCATTTTCTCAATTGAGGCTCCTTCCTCAGCTGACATAAAACTAGGCAGTACAGTTGATTAAATTATAAATTCCATTCGTTCTTAATCACATGAAAAGTCAGCCTGACACTTGCTGCGATATAGCCCCATTATTTTGGATATTAGTACATAGGAGAGGAGGCATCAAACACTACACTTTCCCTGTACTAGTTCAGTTCCAGGATAACTCAAAAGAGTTAGGAAATTTCTTCTTTGTAAAATAATTTCAGCCAGTGAGATGACTCAGCAGGGAAGTGCACTTGTCTCAAACCTGACAATCTGAATTTAATCCTCGGAATTCACAGGATGGAAAGAGAGGACAGACTCCCAAAAGTAGTCCTCTGACTCCACATGTACACACAATAAACAAATACATGTAAAAAGACAAGTGCTTAACCACCACAGCCCAGAGAAGCCCATGATAAAGATGTATTGGTTCAGTTGCAAGTCTGTGTCCTCCATAACACAAGCGGGACCAGTAAGGTGCCTCCCATCTAGTGGTGAGAACAGTGTTCTGGTTTGAAAGTTGTAGGGCGTGAAGAAGCAATAGTCTTATAAAATGTAGCTGTAAAAGTTTTCACGCACTTTAAATGACAGGGCCTACGTGAAGCAATCCTGACAGTTTGGCTGAGACCCAAACTCCACTTAACAGTCTTTGCATCCGGAAGAGTGACACCAGTGCCGGGGATTCATTCCTTCCTGCCCTCCTCCCCCACAATATTCTGAACTTGAATCTTAGTTTCTAGGACCACCAACTAACTTACATTATTGTAGGTAGAGAATTGAATTAAATATCGTCACCACTAGGTGGCATTAGCTAATTTCCAAAATGTGACAAATGACATGGAACAAGTGACAAAATTCAATTTTAACAGATATTATAAAACGAAGGGGAAGATGCACTGATACTAGGCTAAAGGAAAAAAAAAGTACTAGAAGCATGAAATTTGGGTTTGGACAAATAGGTGATGTGGGTCAGTAAAAAAAAATCCAACTTTGTTAGAAACACCTGCTGAATTGTTTTGGGCAAAAAGATGTGATGACAGAAGCTTACCTTAAACTTTTCAGAAGAATGTGGGTGGGCAGGAGAAAAAAAGAATAGAATAAATTAAGTTAAAAGGTCTATAATTAGTAAAGTCCATTGCCAAAGATCAAAGTTAAAGGTTGGTACAGACATGTTAGTGAGACTTCAATTAATAGTTACTGACAGTAAAGAATCTTTATTGTAGCCGGGCGATGGTGGCGCATGCCTTTAATCTCAGCACTCGGGAGGCAGAGGTAGGCGTATCTCTGTGAGTTCGAGACCAGCCTGGTCTACAGAGCTAGTTCCAGGACAGGCTCCAAAGCCACAGAGAAACCCTGTCTCGAAAAAACAACAACAAAAAAAAAAAAGAAAAAAGAAAAAAAAAAAGAATCTTTATTTTGTAGGACTGGGCATCTAACAGGGTTATGAATTAGAGAGTAATTTGGGTTCACATAGCACTTAAGAATGTTTGGTGTGAGTGATTAGAACAGCTGTGTCTGTTAGTTGACATTTAACGTTATTATCTTTTTTCTAAAGATTTATTTATTGTATTACAGTATTCTGCCTACATGCATACCTGCAGGCCAGAAGAGGGCACCAGATCTCATTACAGATGGTTGTGAGCCACCATGTGGTTGCTGGAAATTGAACTCAGAACCTTTAGATGAGCAGGCGGTGCTCTTAACCACTGAGCCGTCTCTCCAGCCCCCTAACATTATTATCAAAGTGAGGATGTAGTGAACTGCTCGAGCCCATGACGACCACGCACAAGGTCTGCTATCTTTAGGCTCAGAACAAAATACCATTGACATTGAAGTTAGAATTCCATTCTCCTACAGAAACTGGAAGACTGATGACCTCAGAACTACTTTTGTTTTCCCAAAGCATTGTTTTCACGTCTTTGAGAAAGAAAATTTTGTGTTAGAGACACATACATAGTAAACTGGAAGGAATAGGAAATTCATGACTATTAGCTCCTCATAGTCCTCTGAGAAGGTGTGGAGAAGACTGGCGGTATATCTTCCCATCGTTAGATCCTGGAACAACTTTACATTCTCCTGGTAGTATGGACCTTCCTCAGGAAGAATTTGGGTTTTGTTAGTGTTGTTTTGTTTTTACCATTCTGTATAACCAACCCAAAACCTATGCATGCATGCTAAGGTATAGTGTATCTCTGAGCTGCAATCCCAGTCCCTCGGGCTTTTTAAAGGAAGGCATGGATCATCATGGGTATGTATCCTTATGCTTACTAGGAATTATGCCAGAGTTTAGTTATTCTATGCAGAAGTTTTGATAATGTCCTTATTTGCTAAGATATCTGTAGTTCTCAAAGAGACATTTGGGTCTCTATAAGAAAATATATTCTTGTATGTGTTTGATTATTTTTATTAATCAAGATTTTGTTGTTGTTTATGTGTATTCCTATTGACTAGTAATTCCTCTAAAGGGATGCAAGAATAATCAGGAACTTGGTCAAGGATTTATGTCTGAAGATGCTCATCAAAGCACTTACAACAGAGACAAATTGAAAATAGTTCCAACATTCAAAGATTTACAAACAAGTGGTAGTGTATTGTTTTACCCATTAGACTGTAATCCAGAAACAGAGACCCCCCTTCATTGATGAAACTGTGTATATAAGCAGTTGAAGGAACTTGTCCCCTGAGGGAAAAAATTGGCAATATTAACAAAATTGTTATACAGTAGTATAATGTGGTTGACTAACAGGAATGACAGGGACAGCTGTACACCATGAAGTTGCTTCACATGCCACTGGTCATCGACTGATACGTAACCTCAGAAAGTTCATTGTGTTTCAGTGTCTAGGACATACTAAGATGCAGGTGTTTGGGACAAAATAAAATACCTATTTTAATGTATAATGACCCTTGGTGAAATAAAATTCAAGTTCTTTGAAGAAATTTAAAAATTGGGTTCAAAATACAAGAACTTTCTTTTTATACTTCTTCCCCTTAAATTGAATACTATCTCTTTTTTTTTTTTTTTTTTTTTTGCCAGTTTGCTATTATTCTCAGAGTATCAATATGATTGGCAGCTGGATTACATATTATGGGGAAAAAATCAGCTAAATAGTTGCTGGATGAAGGCACTGTAAAGGAATCTTCACAAATTTTCTTAGCTACCTTAGTTGGACGAGGCAAAGGTGTGACAAATCCTACATGAAGAAATGCTGCTCCCAGCCCGCGAACAAGGGCAGGCTCTCAGTGTGCATGTCAGAGCCTAGGAGAAAGACACAGCTAGCTCAAGCTCCCTGGAGTAGTCTTAAGTTACACCTCATCTTTGAATGCCTCAAGGATATATGAAATGTTTCAGAGTCTAGGTTATCTTCCCGCTGTCCAAGAAGATACAGTAAAGCAATTGCCACCTTAGTCTGCATTTTAAAAAATGAAGCAGGACTATGAATTTGAGATACTGATGATTACCTTACTCTAATAGGTCTCCAGGACAGAAAGCACTCCTGCCTGCGAACAGTAAGGCTGCAGACCCGGGGGAGAAGGAATGCCCTTTGAGCGTGTCTTTCCAGAGCCACGTCTGCTCCCGTGCTTGTCTGCTGGAAACACCGCCGTCCTTGAAGGGACAAAACCCTCTGCAGCGACCAATCAGATGTCACTTCCAAAGACGACATGCAAAGACAAATTCTCATTCTTCTGCCCTCCACGTGAATTATAAAACGCCCTGTGGACGGAGCCTGCGGAACATGGAGGAAGTTTTCCATTACCTCATTGAGACAGAGTGTACCTTTTTATTCACAGACAACTTTTCCTTCAATACTTACGTTCAGTTGACTCGGAATCACCCAAAGCAAGATGAAGTTGTTTCTGATGTGGATATTAGTAACGGAATGGAACCAGTGCCGATTTCCTTCTGTAATGAAGTAGACAGTAGGAAACTCCCACAGTTTAAGTACAGAAGGACAGTGTGGCCCCGAGCATGTTATCTAAACTCTTCCAGCATGTTTTCTGTTTCATGTGACTGTTCTGAGGGCTGCATAGACATGTAAGTAGAAAAACGTGATGTTACAGACAATCCGCACCTAGACACATTTGTCTAGTCTTACTGTGTTCCTGGTTGTCATTTTGTCTGTCTAAAACCTGTGCACAGCCGAGCGGTGGTGGTGCACGCCTTTAATCCCAGCACTTGGGAGGCAGAGGCAGGCGGATCTCTGTGAGTTCGAGACCAGCCTGGTCTACAAGAGCTAGTTCCAGGACAGGCTCCAAAACCACAGAGAAACCCTGTCTCGAAAAAAAAAAAAAAACCTGTGCACAAATTGTCTAAAATAGATGAAAAGATAACATTTCATTAATTATAACTCTGCCAAAAATGGTAATTTGAAATTTATTTTCTCTAAGGATGAGTATTTCCTTTTATGTAGTAATTTAGTTATAATAGCAATTGCAGTGCTGTTTTTTTGAGTATCACACATGCCCAGACTCTTGAAATACATTTTTTTCTCTTTGTCACCACACAAACCTGTGTGTTAGGTGATGTATTTCTATCACACAGATAAGGAATTAGTCTCAGAAACAGATTCAAAGAGGTCACAGCAGACAAGTAGGAGAGGCGGTGTTTGAACATTTATTCCTAATTTCTATGTCATTTGTTATATTTTACTTTTGCACATTAAGTATCATTGCTGGCTAATTTTTTAGAATGCCAGTGTGTTCCCAGCTCCTACTCTTTAGCCATTGTATTGGCATTCCATCAAGAAAATGAAAACGTGTTCTGATACGTCAAGACCTTGAGAAACATTCTTTTAAAGATGTGTAATTTCATATGCATCTGTAGGTTTGCAGGTAATAGGGTAGATATGTGTTATATGTATAGTTATCTCTATTCAAATTATCTACCTATACTAAATAAAAGAGAAAGGGAAGTTATTTTAATGTCATTATTCCGTTATTAGCTGAGAGGTACATTCAAGGACCCCTGAATGTTTAAATTTTTGTCTTAGTAACAAAGTCTGTTTGTTTGTATTTCCCGTACGTACCCTGAAGCACTACAAGTATCTTGATCTGATAATCCCTATGGTCTATGGTCGTTTAGTGACTGACTGACTGGTAAGCCATGGGGTCTGCCTGTCATTTTTCATTTCATATTGAAAAGATGATGAAAATTATCTACACTACAGCAGTTCCTTTACTTTAGCTTTAGTTCCTATGGTCAACTATAGTCTAGAATTGCTGTGCTGGAGAGTTGTTTCAGAGATTAAGAGCACTGACTGCTCTTCCAGAGGACCCAGGTTCAATGCCCAACACCCACATATCAATTCACATCCAGTACCAAGGGATCCACTTATCCTCCCTGAGCAGCAAGCATCAGGCACACAAATGGTGCACAGATAATAATAATAATCAATAATCATTAGGTGGAGAATTCTACATACACTCATTTCATAAGTTTTAAACTACATGCTGTGTAGAGTCATGTGATGGAATGCCCCACTTCATCCCCCCTGCAATGTGAATCGTCTCTTTATCCACACTGTTCATGACCTGCCAGGTAGTCACTTAATAGCCACATTGATCATCAGATCAAGTGTCATACTTGCAATACATCCAAGTAAGACTTATTTTACTTAATAGTGGCTCCAAAAGACACAAGTAATAATTAATATTCAGGAAAATAAAGCATGCAAGGGCAGGTTAATTCTGGCAGTGTTTCAGAGTCTTGAGAAAAGCACAAATAAATAGACTTTGGTACTAATATAAGACTTTAAACATTCAGAGGTCCTCGAATATACCTCTCAGCTAATGAGGGAACAGCTATTAAAATAACCTATGATGGACAAGCAGAACTACGGCTTTCAACAAATGAGTATTTGCTGGATAAAATGTCCATTTTGAAAAATTAAAACCCATATAACTAAATATCTGTTGCATGGTCAGATAGCTCAGTGCAGTTGATATTAGTTGTAATAAGCTTTTTGTTGCTATTATTTTTCATATTGTGTCTAGAGGAGTTTCCATATAATCCTTGAGCAAAAGCCCTCTTATAAATAAAAGTACACCATTTTTTTTATGTCATTTACACTTTTACCGAGTCTCATAACTTGGTGATTTTTTTTTTATTCTGACTTCTCTACTGCCTTTCTTTTAGACAAAAATGTGCATGTCTTCAGTTGACAGCAAAGAATGCCAAAGCATGTTCCTTGTCGCCTGATGGAGTATGTACTGGATATAATTATAAAAGACTGCAGAGACTTATACCTACTGGGTGAGGAACCTTAGAGATTTGTTGCAGGGTGCATGTCTGTGGAGGATGGTACTTTTGTAAGTTGTGTGCATGGTGCGGTCGTCCTTGTGCCTGTGTGTGCACACACACTGGGAGCCAGAGGTCAAAGTCCAGCATCTTCCTCAGTCACTGTCCACCTTATTTATTTTTTCTTATACGTTCTCTTTCTGAGACAGGAGCTTCCCACTTTGGCTAGACTGGCTGTCCAGCAGGCCCCAAGGTCCTACCTGCCTCTGCTGCCCTCCCCACACCTGGGGTTGCATATGGTCTCTACTGTGTCCAGCTTGTATAAGAGTTCTGAGCAGCTGAACTCAGGGCCTCATGCTTCCATAGCAAGCATTTTAACTGCTGGCACATCTCCCAGGCCCAGAGAGTATTGGCTTTCAATATGGTCTACAGGCTTACAGGATTTGTTTATATTTGTTTCTCATACTAAAAATCTAAATTACTGATAATAGCATAAAAGCATTGTATATTCTTAGAACTGGAACTCAGACGCTACACATATATCAAAATATTTAACACTCATCTGCTTCAAGCCTAGGTCCTCAGGAAATGAGTGACTCTGAGTTGTCAATTTTCCCATTAAAACTTACACCTCCAGCACATGGGAGGCAGAGGCTGGATGATACTGAGTTCAAAACTAGCCTGAGCTACATAGAGAAGCTGTTTCAAAAACAAATGAAGGGGCTGAGGAGCTAACTCAGTGGGAAATAGCATGAGGACATGGGTTCAAATACCCAGAACTTAGATAAAAAGCTATACACGCCTATAACCACAGAGCTATTCAAGGCTCAAGATATAGGTCCTCTGGGACTTGCTGGCCCTAGCGTGGCTTCAGGTTCAGTGAAGAGATCCTGTCTATAGGGACCAATGCAGACAGTGGTAGAGCAGGACACCTGACATCCTTCTCTGGCTTCTGTGCTTGCATGGCTGTGTGCAACACACTCATGAGCATGACCACACACACATACATACACACATGCACACACATACACTAATATACATTTATTAAAAAGAAGAATGAAGGAAACTAATTTGTCAGTTGATAATTTTCAGTCTATCAAAATTGATGCTAAGTAATAAAACAGAACTAGAATTAGAAGAGTTTCATCCTATAGATTTCCTTTACACATTTAAAAAGCTAACATTTCCTGTGTGCTGAGCACCATGTTACATATCTGGTAAATATTGTGATGTTGAAACAGTGCTGTAGGTTAAGCTCTATTATATAAACTTCACATTTGAGGCTGGAAAGATGCCTCAGTGGTCAAGAGCACTGGCTGCTCCGGTTCAAATCCCAGCACTCACATGAGGGTTCACATTGGACTATACTTCTGGTCTCAGAGATCCAGTGACCTCTTTTGATTTCTGTAGGCACTAGGCATGCAGGTGGTACAGTTATGCATATAGGTAAAACAGTCATATATATAAAGTTAGATAGTAGATAAACTCCATTTTAAAAACATAAACTATGTTGTAAGCCATGTTGGGCTGCCTTATGCCATACGCCACCTTTTGGGGTGACTACTGTTATCCTAGTCACAGAGAGTTCTAAGTCCTGAGTTTGCCCATGTTTATTTTTCCATATACTTTTAAATGCCAATATGAAAGGGAGGAAGAAGGTAAAAGACTGCTTTAACATGATACAAAGGATGACCGGAACAGTTACTTGCTTCAATACTTTGAGACATCAAGTCATGAATTCGTGAGAGAAACATTCTGTTGTATAGGCAGTGGATCCTTTAGGCATCAAGTATCTTGAAGGGAGCCACACCTCCTAATTTAGAAGAAAAAGCAGAAGTATGCTTCAATTCTCTGACCTTTGTTCAGGGTGGAGAGGATATACCTCTACCACCATCTTAAAGTTCAAAACACCAAGAAGTCACACCCTTGGTCAGGGTGTGTAGCCACGGTTGTTGTCAACAACTTTGAGCAACCTCAAAGACTCTGACCTCAGACAAGGTGGAATAGGCTCACATTTTGGGCCTCCACAAAACTAAAGCTAATAACCCAGGCAATCCAGCCCTAAGTTAAGTGAAGTAGCAATACACGTTTCATTTTGCTTTTTAGACCATCTAATTTACACTGTGTTCTGTGTTATTGCCAGCATTTATGAATGCAACCTGTTGTGCAAGTGTAGCCGTCAGTTGTGTCAAAACCGAGTCGTCCAGCATGGTCCCCAGGTGAGGCTGCAGGTGTTTAAAAGTGAGAAGAAGGGCTGGGGAGTGCGCTGCCTGGATGACATCGACAGAGGGACATTTGTGTGCATTTATTCAGGTAAAGCAAAGATTTGTTTTCTGGTTATTTCCCAATTGCATCTGTATACAGCTGAATCTACATTGTCCTAGTCAGCATTGGCACCTCTTAGCCGGGTGCTGAACAGCAAGGTGTAGGGGAGAGCACCGAAGGGGACAAGTCACTGGGTCTTGTGTCCGAAGGCCATAGGTGCTTCAGAAAGGAAAGGCTGTGTTGCACTAGGACTTGGGACTTACACTGTCTTCACAGCCACAGACACTCTGGAGTAAGGTAGGGAACATTCTAAATAAGAGATCTGCATGGCTCACTAAGGTAGAAACAATCAAGCCAAAGCTCCTCAACGTTAGTATTGTAATGAGTATTTGCACATGATGATTCAGACAGTTGGTCTAAGCATCTATCTCACTTGGTTCAGGGACTCCACACCTACACTACTACTAACTACACTACTCCACCCAGCCTGCCTAGACATTCATCCTGTTTCTCAGAGTAGCTCTCGAGTGGAAGCTGTCTCTGCACCCTAAGTGGTGTCCAGGAAGCATGGTTGGCAGTCTCTGCAGACTAGAACATACACCTAAGACTGACCTAGAAAGACGAGTGGAATATCTAGTTACTAATTCTAACCTAAGAAGTATAATTTTGAATCCTGAAAAAAAAATGCATTCAATGAGACAAAGATTTTAATATTAAACTGAGTGTGAGCATAATAGGTAGATCTCACACATTTTAAATAGATCATTTTTCAAGAGTCTAAGGTTTCAAGCTTAAAAAGAATTTAAACAAGTTTGCTTTTCATTGTCTAGAGGACTTTTTTCGTTTTTATTTTACATTACTGTGGATTTCTTTCTTTTTAAATTGCCAAAATAAAAGACTATTGCTTCTTTTTAAGTAGCTCATAATTATTATGAATGTAAGACAATGAGTCTCCCATTGGCCTTTTTTTTAGTGTCTTGGAATGGTTTTCTTGGATGAGTTACCTCAAGTCTAGACTTTGTAGGGTGAGTTTATCTTTTCTAGAAACACAGTGCACTTAGCACAGAGTTTTTATTTACAGAGAAGCTGGTGCCTGCTTGTTGGAAGAGGTTGTTTTCTGTTTTGATCACTGTCTGTTGTATTTCAGGAAGATTACTAAGCAGAGCCACTCCTGAGAAAACCAATACTGATAAAAACAGAAGAGAACAACAAAACCATATGGAAAATGAGCTTTCCAAAAAGAGGAAAATAGAAGTTGCATGTTCAGATTGTGAGACACAACCTAGCAGTCCTAAAATGGAGCAATGTTCTCTTAAGTTTAGCAGTGATCTCAGAGAGCCTGTAATGTAAGTGAAAACTTCAGATCATGGTGTCCTCCCTTGTTAAGGATTAAGAATGTTTGGGTTTGCCGGGCAATGGTGGCGCACGCCTTTAATCCCAGCACTCGGGAGGCAGAGGCAGGCGGATCTCTGAGTTCGAGACCAGCCTGGTCTACAGAGCCAGTTCCAGGACAGGCTCCAAAAAAACACAGAGAAACACTGTCTTGAAAAAACAAACAAACAAACAAACAAACAAACAAACAAACAAAAAGAATGTTTGGGTTTTCCCTGTTTGTGTGTGTGTGTCTCTCTCTTCCCACCTCCCCTCCCCTAAACATCTTCTCACCTCATAAATTAAATTTAACACTCCTAGAAATCCAGCATTCTAACCTTAAAAATCTGGCCAACACATTTCCTTTGGTGTCCCATTTCTGAGTTCACTGTGGATAACTTTCATCTGACTCTATGAATGTTAGAAATTTTAATTTTACTTTTATATCACCATTCTATTTGAAAATCTTTATTGGGATCATTTTTTAAAACACATTTTAAAATTATTGGTAGCTAATGATTACCTTTTCCTTCCTCGAATAAATAATATAGATTAATTTCTTTTTTTTAAATTTTTAATTTTATTTTATGTATATGGTGGTGCACTCAGGGACCAGGGTGGGTGCTGGGAATTGAACCCAGGTCCTCTGGAAAAGCAGCTAGTGCTTTTAACCAATGAGATATCTCTATCTAACAATAAATTTGTTACGAAGTTTATGAAGTAGAGATGTTACCTATATTTTAGTGATATACAGAATAAATTTTCTTTTCAGAGAAATGAACTGTAGAAATATTTCAAAAACTCAGCGTCACTCAGCCATCAAAAGTCCTAAGTCGAAGAAAGCTACTTTTCACTGCAATGAGAAAGACATGGTAAGAACTGCAAGAACAGACTGCATGGTTGCCTGCCTGCTGTGCTAGTGCTTGCGAGGCCAGTTCAGGAGGATCATGAGTTTGAAGTCAACTCAGGCTACACAGCAAGACATTATTTTCAAAACGAAAGGAGCTATGCCTTTCCAAGGCCATTAACTATGAGCTTACCTTTCTAGCCTTCACTGAAGTATTTATGCTACTAATACAATGTAGGATGGACATTGTTGTGAGCATACAGGCGATTCGAGTCTGTATACATACACACAGATTTATTTTTGTATTTTTAGTTCAAATAGTATCTTGACAGTTGTTGCAGTTGTCACTAAGGTGCCTAGAAATAGACAGTGGAAAAGGGGTACATGTGTTGGCTCCACTTATGTCAAGACTCCTTACAATATCAGCTCTGGGGCTTTTCAGAACTAACCTAGTATGTACGGCCTGTAAAGATGATTCTTGGTGAAAGAGGTTCAGCTGCTTAGTACTTTCTCCTGACTTCCAGAGTAGAGCTCTCTTTCTTATTTTATTTGAAGGGTTTTGTTTCTTCAGAGTCTACCGCCCCTGAAGATAAGAATGGATTTAAGTCAGCTCCGGAACACCTAAACTCTAAAGCTAGAGCTCACGGTAGGCTTTATTTCCTCATGGCTGTCCCTCTCTTGCCTCTTTGTCCCTTTTGTTCAGTGTCCACCACCTCTTTCCATAGACCTCATAACAAATTGGTGGGTTTGTCATGTGGAAACTGGTAAACTGTATCCGAATCTGACCTGCCAGATATTAATTATGGTTGGTAAAAGACACTTTTTACATTTTTAAATAGTTGAAAAATCAGATGGTGCATAATATTTCATAACACTTGGGAATTATATGAACTTGTAACACCAGTGTCTGTAAATAAAGTTTTGGTGGAATGTAGCTACAGGCATTGATTTACATGTTTCTACTTTCCCTCTACATCAGCATAACTGAATAGTCACAACACAGATTCTATGACCAGCAGATCCTTGGTGCCCAGTCCTCCGTTCACAGGAGTTTGTAGACATCTGGTCTGGTTTCAGCAGTGACTTACTGCATGGGAGAAAGGGTAGAGTGGATGGCTCTCACCATGTGGTCTGCAGGTGTTGTCTGTGGCTCTGGAAGCTCTAGCTAAAGCAGCCCACTTCAGTCTTTCCCTATGGACTCCTAAAGATGCATTTCTCTAGCAGCTCTGCCCATACCACTGTATAGGGTCCTCAGTATAATGCTAGCGAGGGTACAGACTCCCTCTACAGAGTACTGTCTTTTGGAGTTCAGCCTCTACATGACAAATGTTACAGCTTGGGCAGACCGGGGTTTGCAACTTTTGTATTTTGATGAATCCCTCAATAGGGAGATGGATGACAAATGCCCTGTTTTGGAGAGCAGGCCGGCCACTGCTGCCTCTTCTCCCACCTCATACCCTTAATCTGCAACCCCAACTCCCCAGGTAGTGTTACAGGGTAGATTGGTGGAAGTATGGTTGCTCCTTACTGGGAAATTCTATTAAGAAGGAGCATTTTACATAATAGGTATTTTACCCTTTAATACACATGAGCCACAGTGAGTACAGTTGCTTTGGCTCTTTCCCCATTTTCACCAGTTGCTAAGTATATATAGCAGGTAGATCAAATAACAACACCACATAGCTAGTAGAGACTATCAGAAACCTTTGACTAAAACACAAGTACTATAGGAGCAGCATCCACATGATAATGAGTAAACCATGAGCTTTTATTTTTTAGTAAGTAGAATTTCTTTCTAAAAATATTTTTACTAGTTGCATGTATTTATGAGTATGATAAGACAGTCATTATACAGTGTGTAATGATATTTCCCTCAGAGATTTGTTATTCTTGATGCTAGGAACATATGAAATTGTCCTTACTGGCTATTTGGAAATATACCATTAGTTATTGCCAACCATTGCTGTCTTACTGTGCTGTCTGGGACATGAGAATTACACCTCCTATCGCACTGCACCCATGCACTTACTAGCCACCTCATTCTGCCCCCTCTTCCTCAGCTCCTTCCCAGGCTCTAGCAACCACTGTTCTGCTCCCAGCTTCTTTGACATTAACTTTTTGTTGTTCTTGAGCCAGGGTCTCTCTGTGTAATAACTCTGGCTGACCTAGAACTTATTCTGTAGATCAGGCTGGCCTCAAACTCAGAGATCCGCCTGCCACTGCCACCCAGCTAGGAAAATACCTTCAAAGATTTTTGCCTTCCCTCCTTTAAAAACAATATTTGCCCATTTATTTGAGGGAAAGGAATGTTCACGTACACATGCCATGGCATGCCAAGATCAAAGGACAGCTTTTGAGAATCTGTTCTTTTCTTCAACCACATGGGGTAGCAAGGGTTGAACTCAGGACTTCAGACTTGGCAGCAAGTACTTTTACCCTCTGTACCATATTGGCAGACTAAGATCAACTTTTTAACTAAAGTATAATTTGGGGGAGGGCACCGAATTATATAGGCCTGAGTGGGTTGCTTTTTTTCTTTTAAGTACATGAATTTAGTTATTCTGCCTGACATGTCTTCATACTTTGGATGTTCACTAAGGGTTAGCTCCATTATTGATACAAAAACTGACTAAGTTCATCTCCTTTGTTGGTTTATAATAGTCCAGTTTTTGACTGGTCTTAAAGGCACCACACATCAGTGTGTGCAAGCCCTTGGAAACACGGTTGTTTTTGCTGGAGTTTGAGGAAAAGAACTCCTGACAATGTTCTTAGAACTAAGACATGTTAATGGCCTCTCCACTCTCTTGTTGCCTGAGTCTAGAATATACTTAAATACAGAGTCCAGAGTCAGTGAAATTAAAGCCACTTTTACCAAATTTGATATTAAATACACTAATGAGGAAACAACATGTAGATGCATGAAAAGCTGTGAGCCAGGGAAAGAAAACAGGCTTTAGAATTTGGGCATACTTGTACATTTCTCTAGTTCTCTATGTGAGTCAGGGGAATCTTTTTAGTCCTTGAGACTCAGTGTTCTCATTCATAAAAGTCAGGTAACACTGCCTACCTTAACGCCTGATAAGGGTTATGCTGTTTAAAGCAGCTGTCTTCTAACCTAATCTTAGCACTGTGACTCAGCCAAGAATATGCCCTGACAATTCTTCCTAACAATGTCTACTAGAGGACTTAAGTTCAAACCAAGTTGGTTACTCCGAAGACGGACAGCTGGTTGAATCAGACGTGATAGATACAACTAGAAGTCGAGAAGACACTTCACCGGAGGGCAGGTGGAAGCACGTAGCCACGGTGAATAATGAGAAAACGGAAAAGGTGCTTGAGGTTCCAGTCAAGTCCCGAGAAGAAGAACCTGCAGCCTCTCACAGTCAGCCGGGCTTCTGTGATGAAGAGTTGCCAAATGAAAGGACGGAGACTCTGTCACCTTCTGTAATGAGCCTCGGTAAAGAGAATGTGTTCCTCTTGGATGCTTCAAAAGAAGGAAATGTGGGCCGCTTCCTTAATGTGAGTATCAGGGTTAAGATTCCTATTTCTAAGCACCCCTTTCCTTAAAATTTATCAGAAAGGTAGAATTAATAGATTCTAAAGACAGACCGAGCCAGTCTTCTGTTTATGTACCTCTGCATGCTACTTCTTGATACTTAATTCCTAATATGGAATTAATATGGGAATGACTATTTAGGGTTTTTTGAGGATCATACTAATTAATATAAATTGCTTGAAAGTGCTACCTGATGGAGGAAGGTCATTGGCTAATAAAGAAACTGCCTCGGCTCATTTGATAGGCCAGCCTTTAGGTGGGTGGAGTAAACAACAGAATCCTGGGAGGAAGAGGAAGTGAGTTCATATGCCTTAGCTCTGCTCTCTGAGGCAGAAGCAATGAAGCTCCGACCCAGAATGGACATAGGCTAGAATATTTCCGGTAAGCGCGCCTTGGGGTGTTACACACATTAATAGAAATGGGCCGAGCAGTGTTAATATGAATACAGTTTGTATGTTGTTATTTCAGGGCATAAGCTAGCCAGGCGGCTGGGAGCAGGGCGGCAGGAATGCAACCTGCAGCTCCTACTACACTTACCATACAGTAAACATTGGCATTAGAAAACTTAATAAATGTGTGGGCATGGTGGCTCATGCCTATAATCCCAGCACTTTTCAGGCTGAGGCAGGAGGATTTCCCGTGTTTTAGACTAGCGTGGGCTACAGTGTGAGAACCTGTCTTTAAAACACAAAACAGTCAGTTTTCAGGGCTGGGAAGATGGCTCAGTCAGTAAATGCTTGCCAAGCAGGAGGACATGAGTTTGGATCCCAGCATCCACATAAAAACCTTATGTGGCAGTACTCATGCCTGTAACCCCAGCACTCTTTAGGGCTGGAGATAGAGGCTTGCCAGGTCCAGTTGCAGTGAGAGATGCTCTCTCAAGGGGCTATTCTGGAGCATGATAGAGCTGCATTCTCTGGCGTTCTCACGTACATACACAGACATGTGTGTGCTTATATACACACACACAATACCACACACAGTACATCATATACAGAGACACACAAAACAGGCCTCATGGCATGCACTTGTAATCCTAGCACTAGGGAGAAGACAGGAAGATGCTGGGGCTTGCTGGCTGGTCTAGCCAAACATCAAGCTCCAAGTTCAGTAAGACCTTGTCTCAAAAAATAGGTTACAAAAAATTACTATATGATGAAAAAGTAAGGTGAAGAACAATCAAGACATCTGGCATTGACTTCCAGCTTCCATAGACAGGTATACACATATGCATGTCTTCACACACGGGTGCATAAAACACACAGTTTTCAATTCAGTTGTCCAAGTCACACAAAAAATTGAATAGGAAATAATCACTGAAACTAAGTGATGGACATATTCAAGGGTGTTGGAGAGACTTGGTGTCTAGGAGTCTTGTGATGTCAATATTGAGAAGACAGTGGGCAGCTAAGAACTGGGATGATGGTATTGAGAGTACTGCCATGTTACAAACCTTGGAAAGGGGTTACAAGGCTGTGTTGAGAAACCGACTTTTTATACATGTCTATTCTTCAGAAATGCTGGTTTGGATTAGGATATAGGAACTATATTGTGTGTACTCTCTGTGTTAAAACTCTGTCTTGCTCATTTTCAAGTCCTTTCCATGTATGTATGTATGTATGTATGTATGTATGTATGTTTTAGGTTTTTCATGACAAGGTTTCTCTTCTATGTAGCCTTGGCTGTCCTGGGACTTACTTATAGACCAGGCTGGTTTCAAACTCAGATATCCCCCTGCCTCTGCTTCCCAGTGCTGGAATTAAAGAACGATGTGCCACCACTGCCCAGCCAAGGCCTTTTCTTGAAAAGTAGTATGCTGCCCAATTTCCCTGATCCCGTTTTTATGGCTCTTGTTTCTTCCACCCCCACTTTGCAAATGCAAGTAAATGCCTATGTGGTGTCCTTTTTTATATAGCTTATTATTCACTTTGTGAGTGTGTATGAGTGCACGGATGGTGGCTTCCATGCACTGTGTGCCTGTGTGTTTGGGAGACACAGGTCAATTGTATTATTCCTGCAGTGCCGTTCACCTTGGTTTTTGAAAACAAGAGTACTTATAATAATGGCCTTCAGCTTACCAGTCAGGCCACGCTGTCTGGCAGCAAGCCCCAGGGATCCTCCTTTCTCTACCTCCCGAGCCCCGATATCACAAGCATGTACCGCCACACCTGGCTTTTTCACATGGGGTCTAGGGATTGAGCTTGAGTCTACTTAGTCCATTATTAATTGAGCTCTTTCTCTTTTTCTGAGACAGAGTTTCTCTGTATAGTCCTGGCTGTTCTGGAACTCACTTTGTATACCAGACTGGCCTCGAACTCAGAGAGATCTGCCTGCCTCTGCTTTCCTCTGCCTCCCTCATGCTGAGATTAAAAATGTGCACCACCACTGCCTGGCTTGACCTACCTCTTATATTTGCTTTTTGAGTGAATAATACTGTCCTGAAGATCAATATGTATCAGTACACAGGAGCTCCTGGTACTTTCGTTTTTACATTTAGTTATTTATTTTATATATAGGGTGGGGATATATACACGCCACATGCATATGTAGAAGTTAGGGAATAAACTAGAGTGTTGCTTCTCCCCTTTCTGTCATATAAGTTACAGGAATCAAACTCAGGTTATCAGGCTAATTATTGGCAAATGCGTTTACCCACTGAACCATCTCATTGGCCCCCATTCTTCTTGTTAGCAGGTTTCTCCCTTACGCTGCGTAGAATGCCATTGTGACAGTTTTAACTAGGTCCTTACAGGCAGCTTTTATTTCCAAATGTGTCCTGTTTAAAAACTGTTCATTAACAGTCTTACATGTAGATATCTATGCAGAAGGCTCTGTACATTTTTTCATATAGTGTTGTTGAGTTGAAATATAAATATATTTATAGTATTAAGTACTGAGAAACAGTCTCCATTTAGGGGGTTCTGTCTTATATTTCAGCAAGATATCTGGCTTTACTGAATGGGTTCCTGCTATAACTACACTCTTAAGAGCTGTGGTAGATTGTATATTATTTAAAATGAGAAAGACGAAACCAGTGAGATATGTAGGGTATTTACATATTTTAAATAACTAGGTTCTAAATTTTATGCTCTGTCTAACCTTTAATTCTTTTTTTTTTTTTTTAACAGCATAGTTGTTCCCCGAATCTCTGTGTACAGAATGTTTTTGTAGAAACACACGACAGGAATTTTCCACTGGTCGCCTTCTTTACCAACAGGTTTGCAATTGTTTTGTTTATATAATTATTGCTGCAGCTATGACTTTTAAAATAGTAGATATGAAAAAAAAGAATGAAAATATGAAATATAGCCCCAAATATCTGATATCATAAAATACTCAGTTATCCTAAACTGTTAACTATTCAGTAAAAATTTAAAAAGTTGGAATTTCTATTCTTATTCTCATTTCAAATTTTGTTTTTTTGGTTTTTGTTTGTTTTTCAAGACAGAGTTTCTCTGTGTAGCCCTGGCTGCCCTGGAACTAGCTCCTGTAGACCAGGCTGACCTCAAACTCACAGTTCTGCCTGCTTCTGCCTCCCGAGTGCTGGGATTAAAGGCTTGCGCCACCACTGCCCAGTTTAGAGTTAATTCTTAAGGGGCTGAGGACATCAGATTGCATAGTTCAGGAGAACATGAGGAAAACTGGTTTATCCTTTTTGTTTTGATCAACAGAGTTCCCATTTTTACTGTGCATACTAAGAATATAGTATTAGAACAAACTTCCTTATGTAGTTTTATAATTTGACTTACTACTAAATATAAACATTTTCTTTTACAACAGTTAATAAAATTGTGTATGTTAGGGAAAACCTTCAGTCATTTTGCAGGAGGTAGACGGGTCCTGAAGGACCCCAGAATGCAGATCCCTCCATTCAAACAGCAAGGTTTATTTAACAACTTACTGCAGGTTCCTCCTGGTTCTGACTGCCAGGTCTCCCAGCCCAACGCAGCAGTGAGTCCCAAAGCCACACTAAATGAGAAGTACAGTCCTCCACAGTTCTTAAAAATGTAGGAGAGGGGCTGGAGAGATGGCTCAGCAGTTAAGAGCACTGACTGCTCTTCTTGAGGACCGGAGTTCAAATCCCAGCGCCCACATGGCAGCTCACAACTGTCTGAAAATCCAGTTCCAGGGGATCTGACACCTTCACACCAATGCACATAAAATAAAGCTAAATAAACCATAAAAAAAATTTTAAAAAAATGTAGGAGAAAAATACAAGAAGAAATATTGAGGAAAAAAATAGCAAATGGCTTTAATTCACAAAATCATTCTCAAAACACCCAAAGGAAAACATTAGTATCCCGAAGCAAAAATAGCAGTTGAAAAAGAAAGCTGTCCCACATAAGAAATATGCCTGTTTCCTATATCTTCTTTAAAGTCTGAATTATCCCATCTGCTTGTGTGCCACAGCCTTTATGTTCGCACAACACCATTCCTCATAGATATACTTTGTTACATGGTATTTTGGGAGGCTTGAAATAAAAGTCAAATGATTAGATGATGTGGAAAGAGAATAGAGCAACTTGAGGATGGTTCATCTTGTGAATATGAAAGTTGGCATATTCAAGGTTGATTCATGTGGAAGAATTATTTAGGGTGATTTAGGATTTTTTTATTATTATTTCTACTTTCTAGGTATGTGAAAGCAAGAACAGAACTGACATGGGATTATGGTTATGAAGCTGGGACCGTGCCTGAAAAGGAAATCCTCTGCCAGTGTGGGGTTAATAAGTGTCGGAAAAAAATAATATAACCTTGTCTTGACTGTCTCTCGTCAAGCTGGAACTACATCAGTTGTCAATGAAATCATGGTTGATTCTTTGGTTTCACTTGCTCAGGGTATTCATGTTTTATATCTAATTTTCTACAACGTAGGTCAAAACAAAATAAGGACACTTTGATATGCATCAAGTAGCACTTGTTATTGTTACTTTACTTGATTAGAATGTAAATAATATTTTATGTACATTCATTATATAATTTATAACTTTCTAGTTTATATATTTAGACAAAAATTACAATAGAATTTGTATGTTTCTAAATTGTTTTTGTGATTTGTTTTGTTTTTTTGAGGCAAGGTTTCTCTGTAACTTTGGCTGTGTTGGAACTAGCTCTTGTAGAACAGGCTGGTCTCAAACTCACAGAGATCCGCCTGTTTCTACCTCCCGAATGCTAGGATTAAAGGCATGTGCCACTACCATGCCGTGTGTGTGTGTGTCTGTGTGTGTGTGTGTGTTGTGTATGTGTGTGTGTTGCCCCAAAGGACAAAATTTTACATCTTTAAACCTACAAAGTTGATGTTAAATTCCTGACAGTTCACTGACCATTATGAACTACACATGAGGAGCAAGAGTCTGAAGAACGCGTAGGCACTAAATATATGCACGTTAAAATTGAAAGTATTGTTCCTTGTTGAGAATTGAACGCATGGCCTTCTGCATGCTAGGCAGTCACTCTACCAAAAGCTACATCTTCAGCCCTCCAAAGTTACTTATTACTTACTTCATTGCCCCCTTAGCCACTCCAGCAGGAAGTCGTTCTGAAACTTCCTTTCCAGTTCCTCTGTGGGGGCTGCACAAGACCACAGGAGCAGAGAAACCTGGAAGAACATTCCTATTTTTTTCTACACAGACAGAGCTACCAGTAAAGGACTCTTGAAGCTAGTGAAAATTGTGTTATGTAGAATGAAAGGAATCACATTACAAAGAGAAACAGCAGTTGGCGCTGTAGGCAGGTGAGTATTCACAGTAAGTTACTAAAATGAAGTGAGGAGACCGGAGAGTTATGGGGAATTGCTTGTCCAAAGGAGACTGTTGGGAGACAGCTTGCCTCCTTGAGCTCTTCCTTAGGAGTCCATTTGACTTTTAGAAAAAGGTGTTTTATCAGTGTCATCCTCTTGGAGAAAGCTTTTCAGAAAGCCCGAGTACGTTGCCTGGTGTTGGTCACTGCCAGCACGCTCCACTTGACAGCCTAGACTTATCCTTTTCCTTGTTTTTTTTTTTTCCTCCAAAATGGGTGAAACAGTCACTTTTGAAAATAAAGACCGAGAAGGCTGGTGGTGGTGGGTTTGCTCTTTTGCAGGCAGCAGAGAGTGTGTCATGTCCAGAAGAGTCGTTCAGTGCAGTCCTATCATTCTGCCCCAAGTGTAACAACCTGAGCCAGCTTTCTGACCTTTTTAATTATAATTTTTTGATTTTTGCGATTATAATAAAATATCATTCCCCCCACTTCCCTCTTCTCTCTCCAGTACTTCCCATGTACCACCCCACCCCTTGCTGTCAAATTCATGGTCTTTTTCCTTTATTACATTTGTGTGTGTGTATGTTTATTTAGGAATTTGTATATATTCATATATATTATACATGTTCCTAAATAAATAAATGCATCCTGCTCAGCCTGTGTAATGTTACTTGTATGTACCTGTTTTCAAGGATGGTATTGGATGACCAATTGATGTGGTTTTCCCTAGGGAAAACTATTTCTGCTTTCAGCGGTCCTCAGTAACCTGCAGTTCTTGGTCTAGGGCTGGGACCTGGGCTTTTCCCTTTCCGTGCTGGCGTGTCTTGGTGTCGTCCTTGTTCAACTTGTGTTTAGGCAGCCATGTGAGACTGTGTGTAACTGTTCTGTGTGTGTCTGCCATGTACCTGTATATGTGTGTGTTGTATGGTGTTCCCCATAAAGGGCTTTATTCTGTATTTACTGAATAGCGCAGAAAGGAACATATGAGCAAAGGGAAAAATACTTTTCAGAAACCTATAAAAGAGTTTTACAAAGGATTGAGTTATTGGCCTCCATTGATCCCTACAAGAAGCAGCACTATAAATAAATACTGCTTATCAGCCAGTCTCCATAAGTGCATGCCTTCGGCCTTTAAGATAGCTGGTTGCTGCCCTCTTCCAAAAGCTTGCATAGAAACTTCTGGTACCATGGAAGTTAGTCTTTAGGGAGGAGGTTCTCAAGTCAGACCTAAGTTGGGTCCTCTGGGACCTATGTCTGAAGTGCATAGTGTCTTTAGCAATAGGGATTTAACCTCTCATCTCGTCTCAGAGCAACTGAGGGCAATAGCAATAGCCTGTGTGTTTTGGGAGTCTCTTGGACAACCCTGGCCAACAAATTAAAAGGGCTTCCCATGCCTGGTGTTGGGGGTCTTGCTAGATTAGATAGTCTATGACACTTGAGGGAAACACTGCCAGCCCAAATGGGGAGATTCCATTTAAACTTACGTGTGTGCACAGACTGAAGTGTATTATAGTTATTTTCACTAGATACGTTATGATTCTTAGGACTTGTTCAGATTTCCTTACTGTTATTTTAAGGTCTTCTCCTCTCTCCTGTATTTATGCCTCCTGCCCCCACACCCTTTCTGATTTCTTACCTTTTTATTTGTAGCTTTGTCTTCCTCCTCTGCTTTACGAGTACCCAGTATTCAAACTATCTGTTGCATTGTGTTTTTCTAGTCTGCTAATTTTTATTTCTATTGGTTTATGTAAATATGGTCATTGTGTGTTCCACTCACAATGGGATCAATCTCCATCCCGTCCCCTTGAGACAGTCTGCACTGAACCTGGCTTGCCATTTTATCCAGACTGGGTGGGCAGCAAGCCCAGCCTTCTCTGTTGCACATTCCACCCCTGACTTTTATTATGGAGTACTGAGGAGTGGGGAATTCGGGTCCTTGTGTTTATATGTTTGTACAGCCAGCACTCTAAGCCGATCCATTTCCAGCCTCTGTGAGTTTTCTTTCTTTCTTTCTTTCTTTCTTTCTTTCTTTCTTTCTTTCTTTCTTTCTTTCTTCCTTCCTTCCTTCCTTCCTTCCTTCCTTCTTTCTTTTCTTTTCTTTTCTTTTCTTGGATTTTTGAGACAGGGTTTCTTTGTAGCTTTTGGTGCCTGTCCTGGAACTAGCTTTTGTAGACAAAGCTGGCCTCGAACTCACAGAGATCCTCCTGCCTCTGCCTCCCGAGTGCTGGGATTAAAAGTGTGCGCCACCACTGCCTGGCGTGAGTTTTGTTTCTAAGAGCTTTCTTGTCTTCTTTGAGAATTCTTTGTTTGAGACAGGGGCTCACTGTGTAGCCCTGGCTGGCCTTAGAGCCATAAAAATTGTCCTGTCTCTGTTTCCCAAGTACTGCGGTTAAAGGTGTGTGTCCCAATGCCCAGGGAGAATCCTTTAAAGAATCCCATTTTGGTCCATAGCTGTAATAGTTATGTCTTTTAAGATATTATTTATGGGCCAAAGAGATGACGCAGCCGGTAAAGGCACAAGCTGCCATGCCCAACAACCTGACTTCAGTCCCTGGTGCTATAATTATGTTGGTCTGCCCTGTCACCTGGGTACCCTGTCCCTTTAAGAGACAAGTTCTGCCCACTCCCAATACCCCCTTCCCACCTCAGGCAAGCTGGTCTCATTCTGTCTTCCTCTTTCTCTGTCCCTTCTTAAGAGACAGCCTCTGCCTCCCCCTTCCTCTTTCCTCTCTCTGTCCCTCTGTCTCTCTCTTTCTCTCTCCCTGCGTAATCCTTCCCTACCCTACACCTCTCAATATCTCCTTACCCAAACTCTTTTCCAAACATAGTGTATCTGTCTGTCCCTTACCTGCCAACTGTCACGTGGTCCCCTGCAACAGCAGGGGGACCTGGTTCCAGGGTCACTGGTGCTGGAAGTCTCTCACCTGGGACCCACATGACAGGAGAGAATTACTGTAACCCGAAGTGACTGACTGCCATGTGTATGCCGTAGCACACATCTAATAAAAATATACTGTTTAACTGTGCATGTACCTGAATATACAAGCATTCATGTGGATATGTTCCTTTAAGGCCTCTGTTTTTTTCTGTAAAGTTTCTGCACCTTAACAAGCCTCTCCGCCGATTCAATAATCTGAGTCAGACCAAATCAAACCAAATTAGAAAAAGCCCGGGTTTAATGGATCCCCTGCAGAAGGGAGACTGGAAGGGAAGACCGGAAAACCACGTGTTTATTCTCTGGGGGACGGTTTAAATACCCTCTGGGAGTGGTCTTGCATATTCTGGGGAGAGGTCATTGTTTGGAAGGCTTTCTCTGGGGCAGAGTCTGGACTGAGGCAACTCCCAGGGGAGAGGGGGTTTGGGGTGGAACTTTCGTCTGCACATTCCAGACTCTTTGGATATATGGCTGCCAAGGACTGGGTTGGGATTTTCACCCAGACATTCTAGACTCTTTGGATATATGTATGCCAAAGGCTGAGGTCTTCAATCTGAACACGCCCCAATCTTACTGTGGTCCTTATCTGTGAAGTTAGAGGCTTTCCTCAGAATTACAGATCTTGCTCTTTAGGTTTTCTGAGACAGGATTTCTCTGTGTAACTCTGGCTGTCCTGGTACTCGCTCTATATACCAGGCTAGCCTTGAAGCCTCAGAGATCCGCCTGCCTCTGTCTCCCAAGCGCTGGGATTAGAGGCGTGCACCACCACTGCCCAGCGTGCTCATTTATTCTTTCTGAAGAGTGTGAGAAAGGACTTTTCTTGTACCCATCCTGTGCTAGGACCTTTCATTTTGCCCAAGCTGTCCAAGTTCCCTTGTCTAGTTGCCCTTTCTTCTGCCAGGCTGTCTGTAATTTGTCCTCTCGGTGCAACCTCCCGAAGTTTATCTTTAAGTCGCCAGCAAAGCCCTGAGCTTTTCAAATGATATTTTCTCTATGTTAGTACCTACGTGGATATTTCTGTTTGTCACATGACTGAAAAGTCTGGATTTGCACGGTGCTTTGTGCCACGTTGATGTTAAGAAAAGATTCCTTACTGGCAACTCTGTCTAGGATTCTTGATTTTGTTTTGTTTAAAGATACTACTGCATAGGCCAAAGGGTGTGGTAGAATCTTCAAAAATACAGATCAGTTATTTCTTAAGCTAAAAACAGGAAGAGTGGGGGTTCCTGGTGTGGTTTTTGCTCATTATTATTATTTAAAAAAAAAAAACAACTTTTTGAGGACTATTTGGGGTTGTCAACTTGACACACCTGGGAAGAGGGAACTTCAAGGATTTGCCTCCATCGGATTGGAGGGCCTTTTTCCTGACTGCTAGTTGATGCAGGAGGGCACGGGCCACTGTGGCAGCACCACCACTGGGCAGGTGGTTGTGGGTTGTACTGCAAAGCAGGTTAGAGAGCCAAGGGAGGCAAGCCAGAAAGCGTGGCTGCTCCTGCCTTCTTCCTTGTCTTCCCTGGATGACGACTAAACTGTTGGTCAAAAACGCCCTCTCTTCCCCTCAGTTATCTTGGGCCACGATGTTCATCACATCGACAGAGAAACCAAGCTGCTACAGCTGCAGCATAAGCTGGAATTGCTCAGTCATCTTTTCGTGAGCGACTTACCAGAAAAAAGCTAAACCAAAAAGCAAGGCTTTTAGCATCATTGCTTTGTGAATAAAGTGGCTGTCCTTTGCTGTAGATTTTTGCTGTAGCCGACTTCCCTTCTGTTACATATTTGGGAATTAATTCCCTAGTTCAGAACAGTTTCCTACCGCCAGGCCTCATTTCCTCTCTCCTAGGTAAGTGTAGAGATCCACCTTCCTGCAATTATCTTTATCAGCAGGCATAGAGCATCCCATCTAAGATAGCCACAGATGTCCAAGGACATAGAATTACTACCTGCCCAAGCTGCTGCTCTGGTTTACCTGACTCAAAAGATTCCTAACTCCTTATGCTCACTTTCGCCTCAGTTTACTGATGACTTCAGTTCAGGACTCTCAAGGACAGCAGAAGGGATGATTAACTGCAACCCAGAGAAAGACCCACAACTCCCACGATCAGAGCAGCTGATAACAGCATACCCCAGAACTGCCAATTTAGAGGCCTGGGTCTCTTCTTCCCCTAGAGCAGTAAGTCTAACTCCAGACCTAGACCCATAGACTCTACAGCATCTGGTGTATGTGCTAATCCGATCAAGAGCCTTTTATGTAGGTTGCTTGGTTACCTACAATTCTGTGGATTCTATGGATGCTTGGAGAAGAAAAAAGCAGTGCGCTGATTTAAAATACAATCTGCGCCCTGTTCATAATCTTACTGAAAATAAACATTTTAGCTCTTTATCTACCGTAACCTAATAATGCAGCGCAGTGCACTAACCTTACCTCTGAGAATCCCCTGATGATTTAATTCCTTTCTTAACTAACTTTCTCCATTAAGTTCGCTGGATGTCTACTAGCCACTCCCATGGGGGTCTCTCTCTCTCTCTCTCTCTCTCTCTCTCTCTCTCTCTCTCTCTCTCTCTCTCTCTGTGTGTGTGTGTGGGGGGGGTAGAACACTTATCTGATTTTCTATGGGTCCCTGGAACCTGCTAGGGCTGGGGAGTTGTTGGTTTTAAGAATATATATGACCAGGAACGTTCGTAGAACAAGGGAGAATTGATAGAAACGAGAAAGAAGAATAAAGAAACGTGGACAGATGATTCCTGTTTTGAGTAGATTTCTTACCCCTCAGATCTTTACTCCTCCCCCTTTAGCTATTCATGGCAGCCTCTTTAATTGAACCCTGAAGGGAAGCTTTAAAGGCTAGAACTTTAAGGCTCCCCCTACCAAAGGAGAACACCATATAAAAAGGAGAAAAAAAAAAAAAAACTATTCAGAGCTGAAGATCTGCGAGCAAATTGCCCGCGTTTGCACCTCCTCCCAGCATCCTGCTTGCTCTCACCACTCAGACTTAGAGAAACGAAACTAGAAATTAATTTGTCAGTGGCACTTCCTGGAGCACAGCTGCATAGCCATGGCCCAAGAGGCACCACCGGCTGGTGGCCCAGTCCCTGCTGGTGAGTACCAGGTGGTGGTCAGCGGGAAGGGGCCGCTCTCCACTCCCCCCTTTCCCCGGCCCTGGGAACCTTAATTACCACGGAGACTGCCAGGTGTGGCCAAGGGCAGAGCTGGGCGTATAGCCAGTCGGAGAGCTGTAGGCACTGGGGACCTCAGGAGGCTGAAACCTGTAGGCTGGCTGGTTCCATCCTCTCAGGTCCTTGCTTCACAGGTTCGGAAGCTCTGCACTTTAAAGTTAGTACGCAAGACGTGCTGTTGGGAAGGGAGGGTAAACTTTATGGGGCATGCTAGAAAAGTGGGGAATACCGAGGGACAGCTTGTGGGGGTTGCAAGTAGCCATCAGTTTCTGAGAACCCTGAGGTGTGCAGGCTGATATTTCAGGTCTACCCATAGTGACAATCTCCTTGTGATGGTATGATCTTCTCTTGAGGGCGTGGTATTGTCAGTTTTGTGATCCAAAGATTCCCAGAATCCTCTTAGAAAGACATGAACTGAGGAATGTAAAGGAAGGGCTCTTCCGGGACAGGAAACAGAAACAAAAGCCGGTGTTGACAGGCTATTACAGCCCCCCTTGTGTCTCCAGTAGAAATCTGACACCAAGGCTAAAAAAAAAAAAAAAAAAAAAAAAAAAAAAAAAAAACCCGATCCAGTAGGGAGGCAATGATGTTAAGCCTTCTCAGTCCCTTCCCTCACTCGCCAGTGCCTGCAGTGATCCCTGGCCCAAGTGAAGTCAGTATTTTCAGCAAAAGCAGCCTTCCATCCCTGAAACTTAACCCAGGCCACCATCATCCTGACTCACTTGGTAGTTGTCTACAGCTAAGCTTTTAGGGGACTGAGTCATTCCAGCTGGTGACCATCCCCCACTAGCATTTTTTAAAGATTTATTTTATATCTATGAATGCCTTCCCTGAATATATGTCTGTGTACCACATGTGGATTTGATGCCTCTGTTGTTTAGAAGAAGAAGGCATCGGGATTCCCCTGGAACTGGAGTTAGAGATGGTTATGAGCAGGGGCAGGGAACCGAGCCTGGGTACTCTACAGGAGCAACAAGAGCTCTTGTGTGCTGAGCCAGCACTCTAGTGGCTGATATGTGGATGTACATATTTATGTATTTGTGTGTGGAGACCCTGGAGCTGGAATTACAACATGAGTGCTGGGAACTAAACTTGGATCCTTGAGAACAGCAAGCACTCTCGCTCTCTCCAGCCCCCATCCTACTTTTTCAGCTCAAGAGTCAGTCATAGGTAGAAAACTTGAAAAGTTGATCCAGGCAGAGAGGATGGCACAAATAAGGGTACCAATCTCCAAAATACACGGCAACCACTTGCCAAATACCCACGTGGCACACATTTCCTTTAGCTAATCTGTGTGTGGTCTGTAGGGTGAGGGAGAGAGGAGGCTCCAGGCCACTTCCCATACTCTGTGTCTGCACACCCAGAATGGGTTTGTCCCCGAGAAAACTAGGGTTCTGAATTTTTAAGTTTGAAAGTGGGCTGGAGAGATGGTGATGGAGGTAAGAGCACTGGCTGATCTTGCAGAGGACCCTGGTTTGATTCTCAGCACCCACACATTGGCTCACAACCATCACAACAACTCCAATTCCAGGGGCTCCTATGCCCTCTTCTAGCCTCAATAGACATCAGGCATTCATGCGGTGCATACATGCAGGCGAAACACTCACACACGCAATTTTTAATAAAAAATTAAGCACAATATTAGTGGGAGGTCAGGGAACAAAACAGAAGCCATAGGACCAGAAACAACCATGGCTAACCATTATGAATATGAGTTATATGTTCATCTTGTACTTTAAAATAAACTCCATATTAATATTATGAAAATGAGAGTTAACTATCTTCTAAATATATCCCCCTTACCTAAGATTAGAAATCATAAAATAGTTTTATTATTTTATTTTTTTGATTTTTTTTATTTATTTTTTTATACAGTGTTCTATCTGAATGCCAGAAGAGACCAGATAGAATTACAGATGGTTGTGAGCCACCATGTGGTTGCTGGGAATTGAACTCAGGACCTCTGGAAGAACAGCCAGTGCTCTTAACCTCTGAGCCATCTCTCCAGCCCCATAAAATAGTTTTAAATTTATTACATAAGGCCTATAGATTATTGCTCTCCTCTCTCCCTCCCCTACACCAAGATAGGGTTTCTCTGTGTAGCCTTGTCCATCCTGGAACTCACTCTGTAGACCAGGCTAGCCTCAAACTCACAGAGCTCCACCTATTTCTGCTTCCCAAGTGTCACGTAGACTTTTAAAATACTTTTAAAATTATTTTATGTGTATGATATATGTGCATGTTGGGGGGTGTCCACTGATGTACGTGCAGAGGCCAGGGGAGGCTGCCGGGTGTCTTGCTCTAAGTGATAATATTCTGAACATGTGACAAGCTCTTATAAATCTGTAAGAATCTAATAGTAGAAAAAATGGGCTGAGACAGTGCTGCTGGGGAAGAAATGTGAATAGCAGCACTGTGTGTGCCGCTGAATTCACAAATGTGGGGCATGACCCATTTTTGCCTGTGCTGTCTGTCCTTTGACCTGTTCATCTAACCATCTATCCAAGTGGTTCTACGAACACACGACTCTAAATCAAGCAGGTGTGATACCCTGTCTTGTTTTCTCCAGAGCTTCCTCACTATCAATCCCCATGTTCCCTAATAATTGCGTTTTTCAAATTCTTTAACCTTGGGATTTGGGTTGAAATTACATTAAGCCTAAAACCCTCTTGGGGGAAGTGGAGTAGAATTTCTCTCTTTGTATATCTAGCCTCTGATCCAGACTTGGGGTGTTCTGCTACATCTACTGGGACCTTTATCTTGCGCCTTTTTTTGCCTTGTGTTTCTCAAATCTTCCCTTGATCTGTTCTCCATCTGGACTAGTTTACTATCTCCAATTTGTGCTGAGCATATACTCGTGTATGTGGCCACCCACTGGAGCGTGGTGGATCTACCAGGGGCCACATCCTAAAAGAAAACTGACACACCCTCCCCCACAAACCATCAACTGACAATGGGGCGGATGCTCCTGAGTTCTGCCCCACCCCACCCCCGCCATTTCAGCTAGAATTTTGACTGCTTTGATCTTGTGCCGGTCTTGTGCAGGCAGCCACAGCTGCAAACACAGCTGCAAATACAGCTGAACCCACAGCTGCAAACACAACTGCTTTGAATTTATGATTATAGCATTTCCGTCATGTCTAGAAGACACTGTCTCTACGGACCTTAGAATCTTTCCGTCCCCTCTTCCACAATGTGTCCCAAGCCTTGGGGGTTATTGTGGTTGTCTCATTTATGGCTGAGCATGCCACAGACACTTATTCTCTACACTTGGATGAGTTGTGAACTTGAAAATAAGACTCCATTGCTGAAGATGCCACACTTTTTAGTCAAGGGACCCAGAAAAAATAAGCAGTTACCAGGAAGTTCTTCCTTGTTGGCTAGTTTTCATAGTCGTGGAAGTTGCCATGTAGACTGTTGGGGGAAAAAAAGGAGTCAACAATCTTACACAGCTGTGAACAGTGTATGCTCCCATGACAACCAGCACAGCAATGTATGTTCATGGGTGCAATAATGGCACAAGTGTTATAAGGGTAGCCAACTGATTTCTACCTGGACTTAAGGCCCACAGGAGGCAGCACATACCTGATACTGCAAGTCTGACCAAGAGCTCTTAGGCCCCAGAGGTGGGTCTACTACTACTATTTTTGCTAAATAGATATGGTATCAAACATCACTCTAAATTCCCATCTCTGCCCAAAGATGAGTGCAGCTCTCAGACATCAGAGAATTTCCTTGTTAATTTTACATGCATTCAGTAAGGCCCCTGGAAGCTTTTCAGTGACACCACAGCCACCTTTGTGGCTGGTTCTGCTTCTGTGGACAACACTGGTCTGGAACGCGGAGCAGTGGCTGTACCACACAAGAAACACCGCCCCTTACACTGCTGATTTTGTCGTTGTTCCAGGAGTTAAGACTGTCATAGCAATGGGCTTCCTTAAGACTGGAAGAGCTAGCAAGGCCACAACATGCTTTTCTGTTTTTAACTTGGATGTTATTTGTAGAGGACGGTCAGGCTCTAGAAATAATGGAGAAAAGGGTCTGTGCCTTCTGCCCCGAAGACCACGACTGGAATGTGATATACTGCGCACGATCAGAGAATCTAGCTGCTCATGAAAACTGTTTGGTAAGTTACTTGAAAATACCTTTAAAACCACATGTGTAGGGCCGGAGAGATGGTTCAGTGGTTAAGAACACTGGTTGCTCTTCCAGAGGACCTCGGTTCCATTTCTGGGACCCAGGTGGTGCCTCATAACTACCCATAACCCCAGTCCCAGGGTATCCAGCCCCTGAGGGCATTTATTACACATGTGGTAATCATCTTACATGCAGCCAAAATGCCCACAGATACAAAATAAAGATTTAAAAGCATAACATGACGCCTACGTGAGCACTTTCACCTTGATGACTCTGTACCCACTGAATCATCCTCCAACCCCCAATTTTAGGATCTCTTAAACTATTTGTTTCATTGAGTTTCTCTGGAGCATTCTATTGTGGTGATAATTAGGAGCCTTGCCTTGTTTCTATCAAGAGTATTCTTTTTATCAGGAGTATAGCTTTTAAAGTCTCATCTAAATTTGCATATACTTTAGACTGTAATATTTCATTTTTTAAAAAATGTCTTGACTATTCTTTCTACACAGATGTCATCTTTTACTTATCTTGTGTTGAAAGTTAGCACGTTAAAAATGTTTTCTCTCCATCTATTGAAATGATCTTCTAGCCGGGCGGTGGTGGCGCACACCTTTAATCCCAGTACTCAGGAAGCAGAGGCAGGCGGATCTCTGTGAGTTCGAGACCAGCCTGGTCTGCAAGAGCTAGTTCCAGGACAGCCAGGGCTGTGACATAGAGAAACCTTGTCTCAAAGAACCAAAAAAGGAAAGAAAAAAGAAACGATCTTCTAAATTTATTTTTTAATCTCTGGCTACAGCAGGGTACATTATTTTATTTCAGGTTGGTTTGCTTGTTTGGTTGTTTTTTCTTTGTTTGTTTGTTTGTTTGTTTTTGTTTTTTTCTCCCGTGTGTGTTTTGAGACAGGACTCCCTGGCTAGCCTGGATCTCGGTATATAGAGGAAGCTGTCCTCAAACACACAGAGATTCACCTGCCTCTGCCTCCTGAGAGCTGAAACTAAAGCTCTGTGCCACCACACCCAGCTGTCGGGTCTGTTTGGGATTATGTACCATCTGTCCTGCAAACTTAGTGTTTCTACAAGCAAGGACATTCTCTCATTTAGTTAGAATTTAGCCAACAAGATCAGACATTAGCATTGGGTCTGTAGTACCATCTAGTCCCCAAATTGGAGTTTCGCCTGTTAGCCTAACAACATGACAGGTTGAAGCATGTGGGTTCCATGAAGCTTTCAGCCCCAAAGTTTTTTCCTTTTAACCTGTGTGTACTTAGATTTTTCCCTGTTGTTAATTCACCAGTATTTTTAGTAAGCTTTATTGGCATACTTTTCCATAAGCCAACTGAAGCACCCTGAAGTGTACAGTTGAGTCTTGAGAGATGTATGTCTCCATGGTGATCACTGTAACTCTCCAGAGAGCTCCCAGGACTCCAGAACATTCCCTCATGTCTCTTTGCCGTCAGCTCCCACCTCCTCCAAATCCTTCTAGAGTGATGGTTTCTCAGAGAGCACGTGACAGGACTCTTTAGTGTGCAGAGATTCTTCTGATGTCATGTGTGCATTTGGACCTCTTTGGGTTCTGTATCTACGTACTCATTCAAAATAGTCAGAAAAAGTGCACCTGCTATTCAACATACATGTACTTTTCCTTAACAATTATAGCAGACAACATTGCCACAGCGTTTACAGTGTATTATTCCAGACATGCGCCACAGCAGGGCAGGCATAAGCTGTCTTAGTTAGGGTTTCTGTTGCTGAGATAAAACACCATGGCCAAAAAGCAAATTGGGGAGGAAAGGGTTTATTTGGCTTAAATTACCATATCTCTGTTCATCATTGAAGGCAGTCAAACTCAAACAGAGCAGGAGCCTGGAGGCAGAAGCTGAGGCAGAGGCCATGGAGGAGTGCTGCTTACCGGCTTGCTTTCTTATAGAACCCACGACCACCAGCCCAGGGATAGCACCACCCACAGTGGCCCCAGTCCTCCCTCATCAATCACTAATGAAGAAAATGTCCAACAGTCAGACCTTATGGAGGTGTTTTCTCAATGGAGGGTTCTTCCTTTCAGATAGCTCCAGCTTCAGTCAGTTGAGAGCTGCCCCAAGTGGGTGCTGGGAACTGAATGTTGGTCCTCTGAACACTAGAAGAGTGATACACATAACCAATGAGCCACCTCTCCAGCCCCTAGAATATTGAAGAGGAAAGAACCTCGTGCCTCCTAAAACATACAAGGGGGTTTGTGGCCAGCTGTAGTAGCCGATGCCCACATTTCCACTGCTCAGAAGGCTCAGGAAAAAGTTTCAGGTAAACTTGCTGTATAGCAAAATCACTTTATTTTTTTCTGAGACAGGGTTTCTCTGTGTAACAGTTTTAGCGGTCTAGTTCTTGTAGACCAGGCTGGCCTTGAACTCACAGATATCTGCCTACGGTGTTCACTGCCATAGCTCAACCACAAGATCATATTTTTTAAAAAAACATCATAAAAGACAGGTGTAGTAGTGTATGCCTTTAATCCCAGCACTCAGATAGCAGAGACAGGTTGACCTCTGAGTGAGTTCCAGGCCAACCAGGCTATAGGGAGACCCTGTCTCAACAACAACAAAAGCAAAGAGCTGTGGAGGTAGGTATGGCTCTTGAAGTTAAAGAAATGGGCCCTGGAAAGCCACCAGGAATGGCCTCTTGTCCTTCTTTTTACTACTCTGACTGCAGGGCTTCAGCCATTGCACAGCCTGCTGCACCTTCCTCGGCTAGGAAGAGTGGTGTAGCGGCCACTGTCTGCCTGGGTCCAGAGTCAGCGAGGTGAGTTACAGAGCACACACCCTGTCTGAGAATGAGATTACTCATGGCAGGCTCATGTGTGTTCATGTACCTGCAAAGTGGCCAATACCCAGAGCCATCGTTCACTCTGCATTCCCAGTTCGGCCTTTTCCGTACCCTCTCTGACTTGTACCCATCAGGACTACTTCATGCCAACTCTGGACTTTTTCCTCTCCCAACCTGCAGCTGTATTCATCAGCACTGGTGGAATGTAAATCTCATAGTAGCTGCCCTAGTAAAGCCAGAAATTTTGATGTGACATCAGTGAAAAAAGAGTTCAGGAGAGGAAGAAGATTGGTAAGTTGACATGTTTTTATTACTCATACAGAATGAGTCTTGGGGGCTCCAGTTACGGGAAAGTCTATCTGGGACTAGAGAGATGGTTCAGCAGTTAAGAATGCTTGCTGCTGGGCTGGGAAGATGGCTCAGAGGTTAAGAGCATTGCCTGCTCTTCCAAAGGTCCTGAGTTCAATTCCCAGCAACCACATGGTGGCTCACAACCATCTGTAATGGGGTCTGGTGCCCTCTTCTGGCCTGCAGACATACACACAGAATATTATATACATAATAAATAAATAAATAAATAAATAAATAAATAAATAAATAAATAAATAGAATGCTTGCTGCTCTTCCAGAGGGCCCAAGTTTGGTCCCCAGCAACCAAATGGCAACTCACAACTGCTTGTAACTCCCGCTCGAGGGTATCTGACACCTTCTTCTGGCTTTCACGGGCACCTGCACTAACATATTCACTCAGACACACATACACAGAAATAAAATAAAAGTTCTCATTAAAAAAAAAGTCTATTGGTAAAGTGGGGTTAGAGAAACATCCTGGAGAGCTGACAGCAGGACTGAGGAAGAGACTCAGCTAAACACTGTGTAGTTACCACAGACTACCCCACCCGTCAGTCAAGTAGGAGAGAAAACACTCCAACCAGACAGACAAGGCCCTTGGGGGGTCATTTCACCACAGCAGACCCCAATTTGAGCAGCTCACCAGCACCATCTAGGGACTTCCTTCTGCTCTCCTACCCCCAAGGCAGCTAGCAGGTCGTCTGGCTGCCCTGAAGTTGCAGGCGGTAGAGCTCAAGCCTTTATCCTTTTGTCTACGTGGCTGCAGTCTTTCTGCACCAGCAGCTGGGCTGCTTATCACCGATCAGCATCTACCTTGGAGCTGTGGTCGTGGGGGCCTATCCAGGAAAGGACGGCTCAGACAGTATCCTCCCGGGTTCATTGGGCCTCCAGGCTTCCTTTGTCAAAGTAAGATGGTAAGGATTTGAAATATTGGATTTAAAAGAATGTAGATTAGTAAACAAGCTAGCAAGTCTTGAGTGCCACTGGCGGCCCACAACCACTGTGAAGTGCTAATGACTGGGGACACACAGGTATGTGCTTTGTGAAGTGTCAGGGTCTGTCCCAGCAGGCTCTATTAAACTCTCTGATTACACAGTGGCAGGACCACCTCAACGGAAACATTGCTTTTATCATTTGCTAATTGTATTTGAGGGAGTTCACGGATAGTTAGGGAAAAGTACTGGTAGATTCAGGAGCAGTGGTTCTCAACCTGTAGGTCACAAGCGTCAGAAAACACGGAATTCTGATAGTCTTAGGAACCACCAACCATACATTAGTTTTTGTTGCTACTTCATAACTGTGACTTAGCTGCCGAGCAGTGTCTCGGTTCCTAAGACCATCGGAAATACGTTGTTTTTGATGGTTGCCACCCGCAGGTTGAGAACTGCTGTTCTAGAGGGTGCCTACAAACAGCCCAGCTGCAGAATGAGGGCAGCTGGGTACAGGAGAATGCCGAGAAAGAGGTGATTACACCTGAGCTTCCAGAGGCTTCCCTAGTGGGAGAACTTGGAGATGCAGGGGAAGGGAAGGGTATCGGGAAGGAATGCAGTCATGTGAGGTGGTGGCTACCCACTCACTGGCAAGCGTTTCCAGAACCTTGCTACCTAGACAGACGCTCGATGCGTACTTCATGGGGGAGACAGGCCAGTCCCCAGGTAGTAATAGAACAGCTGTGTACATTAGTACCCTCCATGGGAAGGCTTCCCCTGAAACAGGGCCTTTGAACCCTTTCTGAGTGTGGAAAATAAAGATAAGGAATTCCCAAGAGAACTATTTCGGGTTATGAAACACCATGACCAAAGCGAGTTGGGGAGGGAAGGGTTTATTTGGCTTACACTTCCACATCATCATAGTCCATCATGAAGGAAGTCGGACAGGAACTCAAACGGGTCAGGAACCTGGAGGCAGGAGCTGATGCAGAGGTCATGGAGGAGTGCTGCTTACTGACTTGTTTCCCATGGCTTGCTCGGCCTTCTTTCTTATAGAACCCAGGACGACCAGCCCAGGGATGACCCCAGCAATGGGCTGGGCCTTCTCCCACCAATTACTAGTTAAGAAAATCCCCCACAAGCTTGCCTACAGCCCAGACTTATGGAGGTTCCCTCCTCTCAGATGACTCTAGCTCATATCAAGCTGGCATAAAACTAGTGAGCACAGGAACCAATGTGCAAACGTGTTAAAGGCCAGGAGAAGCTGGGGACACTGGACCACTCAGCCTGGTATGCTACTGTTCTCTTTCCCGAATCCTCACTCCTACACAGCGAGGTCATCGCCTCTCAGCGACAAGTGTACAGCTATGTTTCGCCATCACAGGCGACATTTCTGCTTGACCTACTAGCGTACCTCTCAGTGTATACTGATAGTTCAGAACTCCATCTTAGAATGCTGGCCTGTATGGAGAAACTGTCTCTGGAGAAGGCTATGCCCATTTAAGCTTCTGTGTGTGGTGGACAGTTTCTGCAGAGAAGCAAGCCTCACCTTGCACCTCCAGGATCCCTGGAGAGGTTAAATGTGGTTCCTCTCCTCTTTCCATCCCAGCTAGAGCAGTTCCTCGGGAAGCCCTCTGCAGTCTGTGGACCACATCACAGTCCCAGCCCACCAGCATGGCACCCCTTCCTCACTCAGTGTGATCAACCTCCCTCTCTATGGTCTGTGTAGACGGAGTAGCACCAGCCCTCACACAGTGCAGCCGCTGGAGGAAAGTCCCGTCTGCACTGATGCCCAAGTCACAGCTACAAACCGCAGCAGGGCCTTGGCCACTTCCTGTTTTACACCTCGCCTTTCGCAGCTGCTCCTCTGAAACCTCTCCCCACCCAACAGTAAGCTCAAGTGTCCTTATTCATCAGGACTCATCACTCACGCACACCACACATCTGCCAGTACCTTATTTCTCTTTCCGAGAAAACAGGCGTTTCCTGCCAGGCTCCTTCTTCCCATACGGCCCGCCATTTTCTACTCCTCTGCTCGGCTGAAGGGATCTGGAGACCTAAACCTGTGCTGGGCTCCTTCCTGGGTCTGAACACAGCCTAAGTGACTCCATCCACCTCAGCTGGCTTAAAGAACATCAATATGCCAAGGACTCATTTACTCTAGAATTCCAGACTACCACCATCTCCATGGATACCTAAGACAGCTCTCATTCAACTAGCTAAGAGCATCACCCCCCATATAAACCTTTACCCCCCCTCCAAAAAAAAAAAAAAAGACCAGCGCCACCATTCATCTATCCTCCAAACTGTAGGTGTAAGGGTCATCTTTCCCTTACCCCCTCCTGCTCAACACCAAGGCCAACTTGATGCCTCTTAGGTACATCCTGCATCCTCCGGTAACTTGACTCTCAGCACTAGTCCATCACAGAGAAGGGGCTGCTGTGGTTCTCCAGAGCTGCCAAGGGCTACTACTTGGTTTTTCTCTTCTGCTGTCCCTACCCAGTTTATTCTGCTCCTCCAAGCTTGTTCTCTGCATGGCAATCAAAGAAAATATTGATGAGTTTATGTCATCTAGGTGGAAAAATAAACATCTTCATACTCTTGCCAACCCTATATGACCCGGCATGTTCCTGACATTGCGGCTCACTGTCTGTCCCTCAGTGGCAAGAGGCCATCCTTCTTGTCCTTCTAGTAAATTTGCCAGTGGGGAGGCTCATCTTTCTCATCAAGCCTCAAAGACCTCTGCTTAGAATATTTCTCTTTTGTTTTTTTGTTTTTTCTTTCTTTTTTTTTGTGCCAAAGGCTCTTAGTATTTAAGCTTCTGCTTCTCTACTCCTCTGTTCAGAGCTGACGCCTCCTTGGTCTGAAGTTTAAGAACATGGCACTACTGCTTTGCTTTACCCCCACTGTTCTGAGCTGATTTGTTGCAGTCTGGGAATTAAACCCAGGTCTTGGGCTTTTCAGGCAAGAGTACTTCTGCTGAACTGCAACTGTGTGACATTTGAAATTTTGCTTTATTAGATCGTGTAAATTTTCCTCCCTGCCCCACTTATTATTTTTTATTTATTCTTATTTTATTTATTTATTTGTCAACTTAACAGAAGCTAATGTTGTCTGGGAGGAGGACTCTGAATTGAGACAATGTCTCCAACTAGATTGCCCATAGGCAAATTCTATAAGGTATTTTCTTTTCCTTAAAGATTTCTTTATTATGTATACAACATTCTGCCTCCATGTGTGCCAGAAGAGGCCACAAGGTCTCATTATAGATGGCTGAAAGTCACCATGTGGTTGCTGGGACTTGAACTCAGGATCTCTGGAAGAACAACCAATGCTGCTCTTAACTTCTGAGCCATCTCTCCAGTCCCAGGGCATTTTCTTAATGACCGATGTAGGAGGGTCCAACCCATGGGGGGAGGCAGGTTGTCTTGAATTGTGTAAGAAAGTATACTCAGGGCTGGAGAGATGGCTCAGAAGTTAAGAGCACTGACTGCTCTTCCACAGATCCTAAGTTCAATTCCCAGCAACCACATGGTGGCTCACGACTACCTGTAATGAGATCTGGTGCCATTTTCTGGCCTTCAGACATACATGCAAGCAAAACACTACATAACAGAATAAAAAGAAAAAGAAAGTACACTGAGCAAGTCATGAGAAGCAAGTAAGCAAGCAGCACTTATTCATGGCATCTGGTTCAGTTCCGGCCTTGACAGTGCTCAGTGATGGAATATGACCTGGAAGAATAAAATGAAATAAACCAAACCCTTTCCTCCCCAAATTGCTTTTGGTCATGGTGTTGATCAGAGCAATAGAAAGCAAGCTAAGACAGCCCCTCTAGATTGAATGTAACTTTCATATGAGCAGGTACCTTCTCTGCCTTCTCTACTCCTGTCTTTCCTTGTCCTGAAACAATGGCTGTAACATCACAGCCGCCATGCCCTCAATCACCTGTGCAGACTTTACCTGGGTAAATCTTACTAGTCGTTTGCATTTCACCTTCCACGATTTACTACTGCTGTTTTTCTGTGGTCCCCACACATGGTACTATAGTTTGACTCAGACTCGGCCACTGAGGGCAAATCCTTCACCACTGAGCTGCTTGTCTACCCCTTTCCCCTTTCGTCCTTTCCAACCAGGATCTTGTTAAGATGCTCATCTTGACCTTGAACCTGCAATCCTCCAGCTCGAGCTTCTTGGAGAGCTGGGAGTGTAAGTGTGTACCACCATACCAGGCTGGGGAATCTAAATCGTAACCCTTTAATTTTCTGTGAATACTTTCTTTCCTGCCTTTCCTCACCTTTAACATCTTCAGGTTTTACTCGTCCCTGTAGGAAACAGGACCACCAGCCCTTATGCTTTTCTTTTGGGGCTTCTGTTTGTTGACCGTGTTTCTTTATAGCTATCCTTTGCTATAATGCCATGCTTTCTCCTACTGTATTTCTTAGTTTCCTAAAATATTTTCATTCTTCTAACTTAAACCATTGCAGAACTGACAGCAAGTGTATTGTGACGTAGCAGTCTCATGCAGCTACATTGTTATGCATGCAGCTTCACAATTAAAAATAGCCACTCCCGTGTGCTCTATATCTTAATCTTTTTTTTTTTTCAGCTACATTCGGATTTTCCTTATGTGCTTGCTTGTGCTTACAGGGACACCATGAGTGCCGAGTGCTGTCTCTTGCTTTATGGCATAGTCTCATTGCCTTGGACCTCATTCAGCCGAGGATGGTGCCAGGCAGCCTTGGTCGTGGCTGGGTTGCCCCTCATCACAGCACAAGAACTAGCACGGCTTAATAGGTTTCCTGGAGCTACACAGGGCCTAGCCATCTCGATGTCATCTTCATATAAAACCCAAAAGGGAAATAGGACAAGGGAGCAAGAAAAACACTGTACTGTTGTGTTTTTGTTTGGTCTCTACAAATTTGAAACAGGTTTCCTTTATTCCATAATATCCCCAATAGTAACTTGGAAGAGCAGTCACCACCACCCCAGGGATGAATGTCTAAGAGGAAGTCATAGCAAGTGCCAGCTGAGGTCACACATCTCAGTGGCACAACCAGGAGCTGCTCTGGCTTCAAGTTCCTCAGCCAACTCCCTACCTAGGCATAAAGAAGTCTTCTAGTTTTGCTCTTTAGAAATCACTATTAAAATGGAAAGATTGTTTTTTGAAGCCATCTACATGTTCTTGCATTTACATGGACCATGATGTAACTGTCTATGCCAGGCCTTATATTCCAGTTGGCTGCAGTTTTGCTGAAACTTCCACATGGGTAGCCAAATCTAAGTCACATTTAGTGTGGGTATGGAGGCAGGGATATACCAGTGACAGCCAGGATAAAAACGCAGGGCTGCTGGCGTAAATGACATTTAATGACATTCTTATTTTTTTTTTAAAAAAAAGATTATTTATTTATTTGATTTGCACTGGTGTTTTGCCTGTATATACTCTATGAGAAGGTGTCGGATCCCCTGAAACTAGAGTTAGACAGTTGTGAGCTGTTATATGGGTGCTGAGAATTGAACCCAAGTCCTCTGAAAGAGTAGCCAGTGTTCTTAATCACTGAGCCATCTCTCCAGCCCAACATCCTTCCTTTTTATCAAAGAAACAGGTACTTACACAGTCTGATCTATCCTTCTATAGACTTGCAAACTTTGTAATAAAAAAGGAGCCACTGTGGGATGTGAAAAAAAAACCTGTAATAAGAATTACCACTTTTTCTGTGCCAAGAAAGACAACTCAGTTCTACAAGTTGACGCAGTTAAAGGAACTTATGGGTAATTATGTTCTTTAAAACTACATGGTGGAGGGGGTGGGAGGGTATGAATGGATAGATTAAGACATACTTCTTTTTTTTTTAAAGATGTATTTATTATGTATTAAGTGTTCTGCCTGCATGTATCACTGCAGGCCAGAAGAGGGCACTAAATCTCATTACAGATGGTTGTGAACACATGTGGCTGCTGGGAATTGAACTCAGGACCTTTGGAAGAGCAGGCAAAGCTCGTAACCACTGAGCCATTTCTCCAGCCCCTTAAGACATACTTCTAAAGTTTAGTTTATGCAAGTGCTTTTCACATGAGAACAGGATTGAAGTCACCCACCAGGAACTCCACTTCACGACATTTCTGCACAGAACAGGAAGAAGGCCACTCAAGGTTTTTTCTGTACTCTCTTCTTCCTGGTGGAGAGGCTCATTGTAGGCAGCATGGCCTCCTAACTGGTCACTAGGAGACAGGAGCCAGTTCATGCCTGCTGTTCTGCAGCAGGAAGATCTCCCTTCGGGTCACATCCACGGGCACAGGCTTAGGGGGTCTACACTTCCACCTGGTGGGAATGAGTTCTCTTCTTCCAGAGTTGGACCCATATAGAGAACTCAGGTTCCGACCTGATGGCAAGCACCTTCACCTGCTGAGCCATCTCACCAGCCCCGCCCCCAGTCATTAGTTTTTAAAATTCCATTCAGTTTTGCTCTGCACTTTTAATATTTGATTTGCTGTGAAACATACGTAGTTATATTCTTGGAACTTCACTTCCAATATTTACTTCCACAAAGAACTCGCTTTACTATTAGTCTTAAATTAATCAAATGAAAGAGACCGAAGACCCTGCTGTATCTACTTTTTGTTTTTGAGACAACATCTCACTAAGTAGAGCAGGCTGCCTTGAACTCTAGGAGGTACCTTAAAAGTTTCACTTTGTTTAACTTAGACCATTTCCATAAGGAAGAGGCAGGCTTCTCAGCAGTTCACATTTGAATTTAAACATTGAGGTGCAGAGACTACCTCACAAGGGACTAAAGGACACGAAGGTAGAATGGACCTAGAGGGTGTCACAGGTTAGGGGAGGGACAGAGAGAGGCCACTGTGAACACTAGCACATGGGAGGGGATAAAGTAGGAGGAAGGGACTTTGCCTTGACTTGAAAATTACTGACCCTGGGGATGGGAGGACATTGTGGGAGGGTCTAAGACTTCCTATAGTTTTTTACATGTTTAGAAAACCTATAGCCAAACATGGTAGCACATGCCTAAAGCCAAAGCACAAGAGGTGAAGACACAAGTTCCAAGTCAGTCTGGGGTTACAACTTGAGACCAAATGCGAAGTACTCAGAGTATCAAGTCTAAGGGAGAGGAGTCTGAGCTGGGTGCTGCTGGGGAGGGTACATGGAGGGACCTGGTGCAAATGGGTGCATTAGGTCCCATAGGGCTAAGACAAGGCAATCCCAGGAGCCAGGAAGTCCCTTAGAACGTCAGCTCTTTACCCCGCTATGATGCTGTCCAGTGAAGCTCTGTGAAGGTGTGTTCTGTGAAGGCGTGCTCTGTGAAGGCGTGCTCTGTGAAGGCGTGTTCTGGACTGGAAAAGTTCTCCAGATTAATGCATGTGCTTCTGTGTTACCTTTCAAGATCAGCAAAGTTCTGGGTAGTAAGACTGAAGCTTGAAACCCTCAGACATTAGTTCTTTAGACATCCCTCAGCACAGCACAGGAACTAGTGCTGTTCAAAATACTGAGAACAGTCCCCATTCTAATGCTCAAAGGGCACAAAGATATGGCCCAGTCTCACCCACACTTGATGTGGGTCAGTCATTTTACAGACTTACACATTCTTTTTAAAAACAAATACTTTAGCCGGTGTAGTGGTATACAACTATAATCCCAGTACTGGGGAGGCAGAGGCAGGCGGATCTCTACAAATTAAAAGATTCAATGACTCTTTGAAATTCTGCACTTTCAGATTGTTTTGCCAACAACATGCTCCAGAACTACCAGGGACCAGTCAAAGTGGTAAGTTTCTAAAGTGGGTTTAGGAAACGTTACTTAGGTAAAACATGAAATAAGCTAGTTTCTTCTCAGTTGTAATTTCATGTGTACCTGTTTGTATGGATACCTTAGGTGACAGACGGTTGTCAAGAGCCACCACGTGGGTGCTGGGAACTAAACCTGGGTCCTCTGGAAAAGCAGCAAGTGCTCTGAAGCACTGAGCTAGCTCTAGTCACAGTCATTATGTGTTCAGGTCATTGGAAAGTACCATGAAAGGGTTGTTTGCCATCACTACACTGACAAGGGATGAGGGAATGATGATAATACGTGTGTGTGTATAAGCAACTTTTGGCATATATATATACACACACACACACACAGAGAGAGAGAGAGAGAGAGAGAGAGAGAGAGTGAGTTAGTTCGTTCTAGGCCAGCCTGAGCTACATAATTAGACCTTATTTCAAACAAAATTACTCACCATACAACTTTGTCCCACTTCCTAATCACACTGTTCAGTACACTTGTTAAACACAAATGATAAAACTCTGGCTAAGCAACCACTGCTACTAATCTTCTGAAAAGCCAACTCTAGACGAGGAAACACTGCCCAAATCCCTGCGAGCATTAGCTAGAAGAACACTTGTCAGCTCTGAGGTGGATGCACATTACTGCATCTTCTCAACACCTACCTATGACCTGAGCTCATTTTCCTGTTCAGTGAAACACCATCTATCTATACCACTTATCAATGTTATATTAGCTTCTGAGCTTAGAACTAAAATTAACCCTTTGTTGTAAGTTCACATACCCAAGTCCAAATTCACCCAGTATTCTGATTTTGTAGCAACTTTTGGCATATATTTATTTTATGCAAACAGGAATCACATATATATATGTATATGTATATATATATGAATAGGTATATAGCTTCTCTTTGTTGCCCCAGATATCCTTGAACTTGTTCTGTAGACCAGGCTGGCTCTGACTCAGAGATTTCTCCTGTCTCTGTCTCCCAGGACTAAAGGTGTGCACCACTACCACCCAGCAATCTTTTGCTTTATATTCTAAGTTTTAAATGGTTTCTATTTTAGCTGAGGGCCCAAGCTTGCAAAAGAAGAGAGGAAGGAAGAAACATCTCCCATCAAGCATCCCTGAACAGGTAATTTGACTTATAGATCTAATTTCCTCACATAAAGTTCTCACTTAAAATTCTGAATAGCAGAGATTCACACTTTTCAAATCATTGGAGGAGTTGGCATTTGCACACCACTCTTCATGTGTGTTGACAGAGCTGAAGCTAGTCTTTGGGTAGCATCTTGGGAAGAATCTGGACGTTGTCAGAAGCATACTGAGATTAGTAAGATGCTAAAAGCTCAAGAGATGACATTATTCCCTTGGCTTCTATCAACCATCTCTTGGCACCATTTTAGAGAAAATATCCGACCTTACAGGATACTTAGCTCTAAACAGGCTGAGATAACAGACAAGCATTCGTTCAAAAACAAGTGTTTTCCAGCTATATGTCCACACTTGGAGCTACATGGCCTAATTTCTAACTTTCAATTTCTAGATTAGTAAATCTAAAATGTAAAAGAATTTGGAGAGATTTGAAACAGTATTTCTATCAGTTCATATAAACTAAGTTAGTACAAGATAGCAACCTATCCTTCTTATTGTTCATTCAGGTGTTGTTTTCCCGGCCCCAGACAGCATATCCCATAGGTTTTATCTATTTGAGAGTGCCATTTGGATCCTGGAGTTCGCCAAGACTAAACAAAACAAGCAAACAAAAAGTTTGCTTAATACAGCTCTTTTGTTACATTTAATTATTATGATTAATTATATAGCAAAACATTTTTATGTGATATTCAAGGGCAACATGAAGTGTCAGCATAATCTGGTTTTCTCTTCTAGCCAACAAACATGAAGTTTAGTAGATTCAAGAAACGCATGACAGAAGAGGCCCCCGACCACAAAGGTTTGTTTTCAGTGACAGTTGTACCAACATGGTGGCCTCCAAATACTTATAAAAATGTTGGCCCATCTATTCTGATGCTGGTGTTAGGCTTTGGTCTTTATTCTTCTGGACTCTGGTACCTGGCAAGTCTTTGTTTTTATCACTACTATGCACTCTATTAGAGCCCTGCACATGAAATTATTTGAGTTGGAATAGCCTACTTCTTCTCAGTCTGAGGCACAATTAAAAAGGAAGGCAGGTTTGCCTGAGGTCAGAATTCAGTGGTGTGCTACCACTCAGGTGACAGTGGCCTCTGATCTTTGAGAAGGGGACGTCCTTACAACATAGCATCTGCCACAAAAATGAGGGCTGTTACTGCAAGCACTTGTAGCTAAATTTTACAAAATCACATGTATTCAAATATTACTATAAGTAGAGAAAAGTTTCATTTTTTTGTACCATTTATTATTTGAACTACGAAAAATCAGACAATTTACTCACCCATCAACTGGTAAAGTATAGAGGAATCACCATATAGCACGAACAGCTGCCCTAAGACCATTTCCTGCTAATGATGCGTTCTTTGTTCTTAGATGCAACTGCCAAAGTTCCTTTTATTAAGAAATGCAAGGAAGCGGGACTTCTTAATGAATTATTTGAAGGGATACTAGAAAAACTTGATTCAATTCAAGAAAAGCTCCTGAATGAGACCGCTTCAGAATCAGGTACTGAATCGGCTAAATGTAAATGAATATTAGAAAACAAAACATTTTCTTTCCAAGCTTTTCCCTTCCCTTCTTTACCCCATTCTTTAAAAACACTCATTGTGGGCTGGAGAGATTACTCAGTGAAGAGCACTTACTAATTCTTGCAGCAGACCCAAGATCAGTTCCTAGTGTCTACATGATGGCTCACAACAGTAACTCCAGTTTGGGGGAAACCCAACACCCTCTTTTATCCTGCACGGTCACTGCATGCACATGGTACACATATGTACATGCAGGCAAAAACACTCATATGCATAAAAACTACATCTAAAAAATCAAGTTATTGCCAGATCTACTGTCCACAATAAATCAACAAGTCATGAAAAGTCAGATTCTTTAGTGAGCAGCAAACTGCATGGAAGCCTGGAAAGCTGTTCCTCAGAGGCACCCAGAGCTGAATGGGTAGAGGTACAGTCATTGCAGCTGTGTTGTGTTCGTTTGGCTGGTTGTGTTGTCGCTGCTATAGTTGACGTTTTAAAGTATACTTTTTAAAATATGTTTTAATTATGTTTATGTGGGGGGGGGTATGGACATGGGGGTGCAAGTGCCCACAGAGTTGAAAGCTGTCTGATACCCTGAAGCCAGAGTTGTAGACAGTTGTAAGCCACCCAACATGGGTGCTGGGAAGCAGCCTCCAATTTTGATGTGCCTCAAATTCTATTCCTTAATAAATCAAGGGTTAAAAAAAAATTATTACAGGGACTGGAAAGACAGCTCCGTGAAGAACACATACTATTCTTACAGAGGACCTGGGTTCAGTTCCCAGCACCATGTCTATCAGCCCCAAACTGCCTATACCTCAAGCTCCTGGGGATCTGACACTCTTATGGACCCTGAGGATACCTACACCCATGTATGTGTGTCCGTGTGCACATGCACACACACACAAAATAAATCTTTAAAAAATTGTATTGTGCACCTGGCACAGTACACACATGGAGGTTAGAGGGCAAGCTGTCGGAGCTGGTTCTACTTCCACCATGTGGGTTCTGGAGACTGAACTTAAGTCACCAGGTGGTAAGCAAGCACCCCTACCTGCTGAGCCATGGCAGATCATGGAGTAGTTCTTTAGATCAACTCTGTAACAGAAGTTTCTTTCTTAATGAGTTCCTAGGGAATCAAAAGGTCCACTTACAGTGTGCAGGTATATAGTTACTGTGACCTCTTATAACCTACAGAATGAGCTAAAAGCTTTAGAGTTCCTTGTTAGGGGAATCTGGATATTTCATACTGTGACAATGTAAAATCTGGACTTACTTAAAAACAATTTATGATAAAACCAAGAGATAAACTACAGCTAAACATTTCCAAGAGCTCAATAATGCTTACATTCTGAAGGCCAAGAACTCTCAAATTTGTGGGTGCCTCATAATCAGCTGGGGGTTCCCTGAAACATGGGCATTTTTCCCCAGAAGTTCCAGCTGCACAGAGATGCTGAGCTGATGCTTCTCATGGGTTCCCTGACGGCTCTGCACTGTGCTGCACTCCTCCTCTGCTTACTCTTCCATATGGGGCTATGTTCTGGTTTCTCCCCATGGGATTTAGTCACACTAAAATTAACACAGGAAGTTGTTTCTCCCTCTAGACTATGAAGACATTGAAACTTTACTATTTGACTGTGGAATGTTTGAAGACACATTAATAAAATTCCAAGAAGGTAGGTGATTCATAAAATGATGAACAGTGTTGGTTGAGAGACATTTATGATTCAGATCAAAATGACAGGTGACCAAACAATAAACATGACTTCTAAGACAGTTTTTATCTAATGAAAAGAGCCCATTATAAAAACAGCATGACACACAGAGAAGAAATACATGCAAAAAACCGTTGTTGCACACATACACAGATGATAGAAAGACCACACCCTAGAAACAGCAGTGATTTGTAGGATTACATACAGTTCTGCTTCCTAGGGAGATACGCACATGCTTCTGTAATCAGAAAAACTGACTATAAGGCAGGAACACAACATGTTTTTACTCTAAAATGGCAGAGTATTTTAAGCCATGTATAGACAGGCACAGAGACCTCCTGCAGCCTCTCTGCCCCCAGGAGCAAGACAGAGGCAACAGCGACCCACCCTGCAGTGTGCCTCCCCTGCACTTAAAGAAATGTCATTTCTTTTCCTAAGGTTTACCTTCAGAGATCATCTCCTGAAGCAGCAAGTACTGGAATCCTAAAATTCATCAGGGGAAAAAAGCAAGAATAACCAAGAAAAGTGTTTTGTTTTTGTTATATATATATATGATGTAGTTAGCTTGGTGTTGTGTTCCACACCTGTAATTCCAGCAGTTGAAAGGGTGAGGCAGGAGGATTGCCAGCCTAGGCTACACGGTGAAACCGTGTCTGAAAAACGTTAAGAAGCACGCATTTATTATGCCCCCCTTCAGTACTAAATACCTCTGTGTGCTGCACCTATGGACTGGGTGAGGGCCAGATTCCCACAGGATTGGTAGGAATAGCTCGTCTTGTTACTGCATAACACATTGCCCTAGACTGGTCTTTTCTACAGGTGCGCCTACCAGTACATACTGATAAGACAGCAGGTTTTCCTGCCTAAGTCACCTCAATACGCACAGCCTCTCTCATTTTGTCTGTTACTCATTCCTATTCGAATTCTGAAATATTCATTTTTAGTCAGCAGAAAAATTACTTTAAAAGTTGCTTGAGCATGTCAATAAGAATAGTTCAAAAGAGTCTTCAACGAGCTGTGTTTCCTCTGGTACTGACCTTGTCAATTGGTATGAAAGTTCTATGTCTGACACGTCATACAACATATGACGAGGTTTCCTCGAGATCCTAACCAGGACTGCACGAGAACCTGTGGGAAAGGCCAACACCTGACACAGGCCCTTCTGGCCTGGCTGACCTCACCCAGTATTTCAAGCTAACTGCGGGTGCGTGGTCCCTCTGGCAACAATGAATTTGAAGCTTCAGCTGTGAAACTTTTAGAGCTATCTAAAATGACCCTGGGAGGTTTCCATAGGAAAGCCTTTTCCTCCCTAAACACACCCACAGCTGTGACGTAACAATGTCCTTAGAGCCAGAGATGTGCTCACGAATAAGTTTCCTTGGCAGTTTAGCTACATCCTCTAGTCTCTGATGAATGATGCGTGTAACTGTGTTCTACGTAAAGGAATGCACACTCACGTGATACACGCTGGGGTTCCATCCTGAGTCACAAAAGGAGGCAAAGACCTGGGAGGAGCTGTTTCTGCTCCTATCACGGTCTTCTCCTTTGAGGCACAACTAACTACCATGGGGTGTATATTTGAACTGACCCAGACAGACTAGAGACAGTACATTATTTCTAATCAAACTAGTGCGTAAACTAAAGCCATTTTATTTCCTTTCAAAGCAATAAAGAGTAAAGCTTGTGAACAGGAAGAAATGCAGAGGCAGCTGAAGCAGCAGATGAAGGCACTTGGGAACTTAGAACAAATCTTCTGCTCATTTCAAGAAAATGGAGACCTGAGCCACTCAAGTTCTACTTCAAGAGTCTCGCCTTCTTCCGTGTTCGAATCCGAGGACTCCTGACTGAAATGCAAGTAGGCTCAGAAGACAGGCTGTGACAGATGCATAAGTTTCCCTCCCCGTCACCTGCTACTGCTCATGGCTATTTTATACCTGACTGGGTGTTACTTGTCACCTCTCGTCATCTCACTTGTCCTCCTTTCTCCTTGTTAGTAAAAACTGTTCCTCAGGTCAACTGGATCAGCTGAGAACAGATCTTCCCATGTATTCGCCAAGGAACAAGGAAGTCTTATGTATTGGTTGATGCCTTACCTACTCACCCCAGTCAACTGCAGCAATACCAGAGCCTTTGCACTTCCTGCTGTGAAATCTTAGAACTTTTCCTTGCCTCTGCTTGCCCTCCAGGTCTCACAGTAGTCTCCTCTCAGTATTAGTAACTCCATTACAACAGGGCAGAAACTCATTCCCATGGTTTGCTTACTGTTAACCTGGGTTCCTGCTCACTACATTTCCAAGACTTAGCGCACTCAATAAATATTTGTAAAATACACTGTACAGAGTGGATGGTTTATTTAATACAGTTCACAGCAGCCTCAGCGGTAACAGTATAGAATGCACTGCTGTTTTAATGATTTTATGGGTCTTCATCAGTCTTTTTAGAAGTGTCTTTTTGGTCACAGTTATTATTACAAGGGCATGTGTTGTCTTCAAGACAAGCACCAACATTTGAAACTTGGCTCTCTGAATAAGAACACCATTAGGAATATGGAATGGGAAAAATGAAGACTTTTCCCCCCTAACAATAAGCAATTTAGGTCTGTATGCCCACATCACTCTTGACCCTCGACTCCTTCTCATTCACATTTCTCATTTCCTACCATGATCCTCTCAGGTCCACATTAATGCTACCAACCAATACGGGACTGAGCCGTGTCTCCAGCATGGTGTCGAGTCTGGAGTCATTCCTGGTGCAATACTGTGGTTTCCAATGTCACTTCATGAAGGGTGAACTGGAATGACTGCAATATGACCAAACGTCAGGATGAGCTGGCTTCTTACAATTCAACTTTAATTTGTTAGTCACAGTAAATTGTATGGCACAAGGAAGCACCACTTGTTTGGGTTCATATTGTTTGCACATATTGGGCAAACTGATCAAATAAACCTGCTCTGTTACTACTGGAAAATGAGCCAAATAATCCCAGCCATTATTTCTATATAAGAAAATGTATGGAAGCCCAGGGTACAGAAGATGGCACTGTGGGAAGTAACATTAGGGACTGCACAGACATTCCCTTTTATTCAATGATGAATTTTGTAAACCTAGTGGGAGGCACATAAACATACTGTTTTATAGATGAGCTAAAAACAACCCCCATTCTACACAAACCAACTTCTGAACAACTGTTGGTTGGGTCAACTCCATTTGGTTCCATTATTAAAAAAAAAAAAAAAAAAATACGGTGAGATGGCTCAGCACTTGCCTCCAAGCTCGATGACCCGAGTTTAATTCCAGGAGCCTACACAGCAGAACTGACTTCCACAAGATGCCCTCTGACCTCCACAAGAGTGCTATGACATGCATGCTCCCTGTGTACAAAATTAACTTTAAAAACTTTACAAGCTGGGTGATGGTGGCGCACGCCTTTAATCCCAGCACTCAGGAGGCAGAGGCAGGTGGATCTCTGTGAGTTCGAGACCAGCCTGGTCTACAGAGCGAATTCCAGGATAGGCTCCAACGCCACAGAGAAACCCTGTCTTGAAAAACCAAAAAAAAAAAAAAAAAAAAAAAAAAAGCTTTACAAATATTCTATTATATCATTGATTGTTAACCCAATCTCCACTTTGCCCTAATAACTGCCACGTATCACAGGGACAGTGGCTACTACTTTTCATCTTTAAGTACTTCCAATTCAAATGCATTTCCCACTCTGATAATTCAACTATACTCTTTTAACAAAAATAAAATCTTTGGGTTGGGGGTAGGAGAAGTAGTCGACACATTCATAGTGGTATCTTATTTTTATTCTAACATGGTTTTCTAAAATTGTGATATATGTAACAAAATTTACCACTTCAACCCTTTTAAGATTATCAACTTCTTTGTCTATGAAGCTTTGCTAACTGTAAAAATAATCTGTGCTTAATTCATACAGCTGTGAGACGCAAATAATGTATGTGAGAAAAAATATAGTTCAGTAACATCAAATATAGTCAAAAATTATCATTCATCCAAAACATCTTCCTCTTGTAGAACGGAAAGTGTCAATGTAAGAGCTCCCTCTCCCAGCCCGACAAACACTCTTTCCAACTCTAGGAACACATAATTGTCTTTTTATGACTTGACTTTTTTTTTCACTTAAGTCCACAAATTAATCCATGTTGTACCAAAATAACAAGTTCCTCCCTTTTCCAGGATGTATATACTACTCTACTTTAAAGGGAGAAAACAACCACAACTGTACACGGCCTGCCTTAAGAGATTATTTATTATGTCATTCAAGAAATTACACAAATGCATCCTAAATACTTGAGTATCAAACATTGTTCCAGTAAGTTCAAGGATACAGTTTAGACTATTTTAAGAAACTGTGACTTCTCTGGCTTCCATTATTGCATCAGAAGAGTACATTAGTTTCAAGAATTTTTGTTTTCTATGATTAAAAACAAAACCAAATAGAAAAATAAAAAGATTGCATTAAAAAAAATCCTCCAACCCTTCTGAAAGGACTTGCTCTTTCACTGCCATACACTCAAGCCCCCAGTAAGCTGAGAAGTGTGTCTACAGCTGTCAGAACTCAGTAGGTTCTTGCCAGGTGAATTATATATGGATATGGATTTATAGCTGTAGTTTGTGCTTTTCTGTGGAGAGGTTTTCAAGTAAAAACAATAGTAAACATATTAACGTTACCACCTTGGGACTCCAAGTCTAGAGAACTGTGGTTATTCAGATGGCCTATTCCAGCAAATTGTATCAATGTGCACTCGTCATCCCAGGACGGAAACTGTCACTGAAGAGCAATTCTGACTTACCAATACACCAGGCAACAGTCACGTGTGACACGATCAAGAAAAGGGGACGTTGGGCTCTGGGTTGGCACATGTCTGGCCTGTCAACAACTCCTGCCTTTGGTGCCTCCCTCAGCACTCCACCCGACACATCCGACTTAAAGCACTGCTGCACAGCGCCTGCAGCATTCCCTCCCTGTTAACTGGCTCTGAACACAGCCTAAGGCCAGAAGGTCCTCTGTAAGCAGGAAACCGAACACACTAAGGGAACACACACGTAAAGGAGTTCATGGAGCAGAGAGCAAACAGACAATGGCTCAATGGGCAAAGCTGGGATAACAACATTCTACACCCCAGTAACATTCATAGCCAGACTGAAAGACAAACAGTCTTTTTAAATGGTCTTTTTAGGAAAACTATGACTTTGGGAACCCTATTTCAAGGCTAAGATAAGCCAAAAAGTATTCCTAACACAAGTAAAGCAAGACAAACACAAAACGGGAAGGTGAAGTTTCAAATAAATTTGTGATGGAATGTGGCCCAGACTCCCCGGCACAAAGTGACCATTCTGAGTCCTGTAAGAAAGGTGGTTTTAACAGTCATGTCAAGTCACAAAAGATCAGATACAGAGAGTGTGTGTGTTTACAGGGTGAGGCTGAGGGGTAGTGTGTACTGCACTCTCAAATGCAACCTAATGAAACACTGCTGAGAGTGAGCGTGTCAGGCTAAGTTCAGAATTAGGAGTTCTAAACCATTCTCCTTTACCAAACAAAGCTTCTTTTATCGTCTCACAAGTAGTTCTAGCCATTACTCTTTCGGTACCTAATCTTTTAATTTTTATTACACTTTTTTATTGTGTGCATGTGTGTAGTCACGGTGCATGTATAGTGATCAGAGGACAACTTTTAAAGTTTGCTCTCTCCGGCATGAGGGTCCTGGGGACTTAAGTCATCAGGCTTAGTCATAGCAGTTTTTACCTGCTGAGCCATCTTTCCAGCCTGAGGTGCCCACATCTTAAGAGAATATCGGCAAACCTCAACACTTCTTGACTGTTTATGTGGGTCTGATGCATATTCGACAGTATTTCTTGAGAGCCTCCCACAGTCTGGTGCCCCACAGGAAGGTGGTGACAGCGAGCAGCACTCAGGAGCAATGGCAGGGCTTGTCCTCCACATGCAGTGTGAATAGGCGTGTCGCAAAGGTCCAGGAACATCTCACCAGCATCCTTAGTCCCAGTTCAAAAGATCCTCTCATGAAAATTAAAAAATCAAAAGCAACTAAGCTTTCATCCTTTCAGAGCATTCAGCCAAATGTAAGGAAATCCCATTTCAAGTACACATATCCATAAAGAAGAGCTGTGAAAAACAGGCTCATGAAAAGCATCCTTCATATACTCCTACTGTCTCTGATGTGACAAAAGCGACCTGGCGGGTTTTACCTGCAGTCTCACATCACTCACTCACACCCAGCCCAGCAGCCTCGGGTTTCAGTTCTTAAAGGCTCCACATTTACTGGCTTTAGCAATGAACTCCTTTAGCAGGGGGCCATCCATTTGCCAAAATGCCGCAGTCTGTGTAACGTCTGTCAAATGATTGACGCAAAACTTAAAGCAGAATTCTTCTAAATCCTGGACATACACAACAAAAATAAGAACAGGAAGAGGCCTTTGTTTATTAACCGTGAACTGTTTCTCTGAAAATCCCCCCATCCCAATTCTCTCACCCATCCCAGAAGAGATACTTGAGACCAGATAGCTCCCACGAGGCAAGCAGGAGGACTGCATCTCATCAGAAAACCGCCTGCCATCTGCTCACCAGAGGGAAAGCATGGTTCCCGTAACCCAAGTGTGACACACACGCAAAATCATCGGCGGCCTTCCATGCCTGTCACCTGGCACAAGTATCTCAAGACACTGTACAAAGCCCAATGCCACTTTAGTCCATACATGTTTTGTTACATTTAAGAAAACAAATTAAAATATGGGCTAGTTTAAAGAACAGAAGGTTTTAGGAAACAGATGAAAATTTATGGTCTACCTAAAATTATATTTAGAAAAAAAATCTCCAAAACTTTATTTTCATGGTCTAATAAAAATGAATTTATCTTTATAGCCCCCACTAATATGTCTTCCAGCATGCTATTAATAAGCTCCCAGTCAAGCCCAGACAAGTGTATTTACACAGACTAGAGTTCTCAGACAGATGAATCAAGTCACCAATAGCCAACATTAATCAGTAAAGCATCATATAGATATGGTGTCACACTCACTCATCCCTGAAAGCCCCGAGTAAGCAGGAAGTCCAAACACACTCATTATAGAAATTGGTATGGATATAAAGAGTACTTCAATATATTAAAGCAAACAGCACTAAAAAGTTTTTTTTTTTTTAAATCAAAATGGCTCGATTTTTCTTTTTGTATTGGGCCAGCTGGCAAGCTGTGAGGAACTCTCCATTTAAACTGAAGGGTCATGACTTCCTGCTCCTAGTTGCCCTGAGGTGAGAATTCTAGACAGTGCAGAGAAGACCCCAGAGCTCTCCACTCTG